AAATATATCACTTTTTTCCCAGAAAGGTCAAGTTATTTTTCCTAAACTAATGTCAAAATCAGCCTGATGTCTGAATATGTACCAACTGTTACTATAATGATTCTAATACCTGAGTCAAAAGCATACAACTATGGGAACATTAAACTGACAGTCATCTTTTATGTTCTTTTAATAGCCTATAACTTATATCCATCTTTTTTTCCCCATACAGTATGACTGGACTTTATTTTTAAATGATGGCAAGATATACTGCTTTCTCAACCAAGTTTGTCCTTGCCAAATTCTATTATTTTGCTTACATGGGACAAAGTCTTTATTATGTATATGGGATTTATCTTTTTCCCTTTCTACTTTTCAGGACTGTTCTATTATCTAACACACACATCTCACCCTCAACATCTTTGCCCTAATAAGGTTTCAACTCTTTAAATTACTAATCTGCTCTCAGTGTCCTTTTTCTGTGTAATAAGCTTTTTTCTTCCCCCTATATTAATCTGCCTAATGTTTTAAATATATATTCTTACTTACTAAAGGAACCAAACAGGGTATTTTTAATTCCTTACTAAAAACTAAGCATACAGCATTACATTAAAAATGAGTATTTTAATTCTAATCAATGTGAGAACATGCTGGCCAAAACTTGGAGAGCCAATAGAGGTAATTCCCCTAAAGATTTACCAAGTGATGTCAGTCTAAATCTGCAAAGGTTGGACCTGATCAGATTGTTTACTAGACTGAATTTAGGTAAATCTGCATGATGAACATGAGTTACTTCATAGTCAAACATGCATTACTTACATCAGAATTTACATCCTGGACTCCTAAGAACAAAGAAAGTTTACAATATTGAAAAGATTATAGGATATTATCTAAAAAGGTGAGCTTCTGGGTTTTTGTTTTTGTTTTTGTTTTTTGACACAAGGAACTGAAAAGATTCTTTAGGCAAAATAACAGCTTCTGATATTGAATCAAGATGATTCTACTATTTAACTCTAACATGTAAATGACATAAAAATGTAAGATATCTGTATTATTAAAAGAATATTCTTATCAAAAAGGAAAATCGAAAACATTATTCTAAGTAAAATAAGAAAGTCAAAAGAAGCTAAGAACCATATGATTTCACTCATATGTGAGATATAAAACTGAACTTGTGGACACAGACAACAGTGTGGTGGTTGCCAGAGGGAAGGGGAGGGAGTGGAGAGTGGAGGCCTAATATATAGGATGGAAGATGGTTTGACTTTGCGTAGTGGGCAGTGCAATATTCAGACCGTGTATAATATAAGTGTATACTTGAAACCTATATGATCCTACTAACCAATGTCACCCCAATAAATTTAATTTTAAAAAAGAAAAGAAAGAAAAATGAACTGGCTTTGACTTTAAACCACATCATCAGCTGTAAAGTTATCTTAGTTTAGTTTCTTTAAAAGCTACAAATAATATCTGTATGTAAAAATAATTAAAAAGAAAAAGTATATTCCCATGTAGAAGGGGGATGAGAAAGCTTATGAAAGCTGTTAATCTCCCCAAAATCTGCTCTTACCAAATTTTGGAACACTTTTAGAATTATAAATAAAAATACTAAGAGTTACATTATCATATTTGTAGAACACAAAGCACATTATATTCAAATCTAGATTGAAGTTTAATTATACTTTAAGATTATCAAGCTAGTCATTTAATACTTATATTTAATAATATTTCCTTAAACATAAAGCTAATGGTTGTGTCATTTTTATCTGATATGAAAAAAATGTTCAAAACATAACATATTTTAAAGTTATTATTCTGATGGTCAGTCACCTAACAAAAATCATTCATAATTTATGGTATTTCTATGGTTTTGATTAATTCATTTTAGTTCACACATTTTTATATTTGCATTTCCATGGAAATTATAAGAGTTAGAATATATATACTGAAGAATATATCTATATGACTGAATTGATATGAAACCTATTTAATCTACAATATTTCTAAAAACTTCACTGAGCTGCCATAATTTTTGTCAGCATATGTAGTACTGAATGACCATTAAAATACCTGAATTGAAACTATTCCAGTCTAGCAGTTTGTAAGATCTTGTGTTACCCATAATTCCGACAAAGGCTGAGTTCAAAACAGCAAATTAGAAGATCAGTTTTAGGTGCAGAATAGTAGGGGGGGGGGGGGGGAAATCAAACTATAAACAAGAACACAATTTGACAACACCACTCGACAGGAACTGGAAAAACACAGACAGCAGAGTTAATAAGAAGTTGAAATAGAAAGAGAAGAAGGAGCATGCTATCATAATCTAACATTAACTAAAGTTTAATTATTTAATATAATTACCTTGATTTTTAAAACCACCCCATTTGTTCCTTTGTTGTATGACTTGGTTTGCTAAATCCTTAACAAAGGAAAAAGTTCAAAAGAAATAACTACAAAATAATAATCCATAGAATTACAGGTGGTAGTGGTTTTAAAATAAGATTTTTTTCTTCTACACTCAGTTTGAAATGCAAATTTCCCATACTCAGTAATAAAAAATAAAAAAAAATAGCTCAGCATTCATTTGAGTGCAAATACAGCACTTTTAACATTAGCACATGTATCTCAATTCACCCTAAGTTCTGCAGATGAACTCAGAGTCATAAAATTAACACATTATCATTATGGTAGATGCTAATCTAGAGTTTTGTTTTAACATTCGGCTACTTTCAATAAATTGAAATGTTTTCATAAATATTTAATGGCCTAAAGATTAAGAAAATGTTCCTTTTTTAAAGTGCAAAAGATGTATTAAGCAATCAAAAGAAATATGATATCTGTATCAAATTAACATTGGAACCATTAGAATATACAACTTGTATTTAACTGAAGATAAAACAAAATTAAAATATAACTTATATACCATTAAAGCATTTATATGTTTATGTCCATAATCATTTGGGAAATAGCACATTATTAACTAAAAATTTCTATATGTGAATTGAAAAACTACTCTGAAAAGAAAGACAAAGGATGAATAATTACAATATACAAAATGTGTTCTTAATAAGGGTTCCTAAACTCTTCCCTGGGCCTGGATTCTTACATTTCTTGCAATGCTAGGATATACTGACAAGTACAACAGATCCCACAAAGCAGTTTTTTGTATAAAATAATATGATTTTAAATACAGCTCTTTACTTAAACTTATTTAAATAACCTTCACTTCTTCTCCCAGACTCACATACCACTTACTCAGAGTACATGGAAGCAAAAATAAAAATGTAAATAAGCCCTAGCTGGTTTGACTCAATGGATAAAGCATCAGCCTGAGGCCTGATGGGTCTCAGTTCGATTCTGGTCAAGGGCATGTAATTTGGTTGCACACTCTTTCCTGGCCTGGGCCCTGGTCGAAGATCATGCAGGAGGCAACCAATCAAAGTGTTTCTCTCACATCAATATTTCTGTCTTTCCCTCTCTTCCACTCTCTCTAAAAACAAATAGAAAAAAATGTCATTGGGTGAGAATTAAAAATAAACAAAAAAAATTTTTAATGCAAATAAAAATACATTACCAATAATTAAATACATTCCTAATGTCATTTTTGAAGTTATTATGTCAGTTGTGCAATCTAACAAAATATTTGAGTCAGTGGCCCATAGAAATACAGGCAACTACCCCTGGTCATATAATTAATGTCAGGTATCTAAATCCAGTATTTCCTTGCACTTTCCAAATAATCCAAGTTCCTAAACACAAAAATATAAACTTTGCATAGTCTTCAAAGTCTCAATACATTAAACTGGCATCAGTCTAAATTTGCCTTTAATTACTGCAGAATATACAAATACTATATGGGGGGGCGGGGGATCTTAAATTGACCAGAAAAATAAGAAACAGGGGGATTGGGGGGGAGATAATAAATCATAGAAGAAAATGAAGACTGATGCTTAAAAGATGTATTCACTTGGCTTTAGAGTTTTTATAAATAATCCCAACTAGTGTTGCTTCCCTGAAATTTTGTTCAGAGACAAAAAAAATCCATTGTTTCTGTGTAATTAGTAACTCAAAAATAACTGACATCAAACCACAGGGCACAGATTACTGTATTTAATTTAAAATAATAGTAATTTTATGTATTCTCAAAATCATTATATGCAATGTTTGGCATTAATAATTTCAAAGCATTTCACTCTTTTTATAGATGTCAGTACAGGACTCAAGAGGTCATCATTGGAAGTGATAATTTAAAAATTTTAAAAAGTATATATGTATATATGCCTAATAAGAATATTAATATAACTTCAAGTTTAAGGTATGACATTAAAATAATAAATGCCTTGGACAAGTGATTGAGCATCTTGTCAGAAAGATGCAAGAACACATTCCATACGAAAAATTCCTACCACATTTATCATGCTTATTTTGGATTTAGAAAAGTCACCAAACCATTTCTAACCCAAGGGCCTGAAATTACTGGGACTTAAAAGCTTTTCTTCTTTTATAATGATGGCCCATGTCTTAAAGAAGTAAGCTTTCATTTTTACTTATTCTGTATACAGAACAAATAGCTACTGAAAAGAATCCAAGGAACCAGACAGTTTTGTTTTTAATTCTTAGGTACTCTACACAATGTTTACAATTACATTTTAAAAGAATATTTCTTTTAGGAATAAGGAAATAACTCAACCTATAAAGAGTTATTGTCAGAAAAAATAAAAAAGAGTTTTGCCAGTCAAAAAAAATAGAGGACTCAAAATATAATAATTCCCTTGGCCAAAGTGGATCAAGATTTGTATTTGTATTTTGTATTAAAAAAAAAAAAGTAACTAAATTATACTTCTTAAGTTTATTTTTAATTAAGGTCAGTGCAAATATTGTAAAGCTACATGCGTCAGTTTATACTCTTTTTCATTTTTCATGCAGATAAATTTGGCTTAAAAACAGCACTATAAAAATCAACTTTAATAATCATAGTCTAAATAAATGAAACATCGAAAACAAACTTTTAAAGAACATACCAGGATTGTGGATACGATCCAAAAGCTTCACAGAGCGTGCACTAACAACGCCCCCAACATGCACAAGAAATCCGGGAGGAAATGCCGTCAAGGTAAAAAACGGAAATTCCTAGTAGAAAGAAGAGGGAAAAATATAACTGAGTGTACAAAGTACAAAAAAATTTGCTTGTTAAAAAGCTGTCATAAGGAAATAAAATCCATCCCTTTAATTCCATACATTATACACACTTTGTATGTAAGTTCCCTTGATGTTAAGAGTATTTAATCCATTTTCCCGTATATGCAGAATCCAAGCACTCTTTTCATCAATTCCCAGTAAGAAAAATGTTCTTGGAGTTCCTTCCTCTCAATCTCCTATTCTGATGGACTTCAAAATGAGATGAGGGGATTCCACTCTACCCCATACCTACTTCTTATTGGGACTGACTCCCCTTCACTTTAATGCTTTTCCCCAAGTCTAGGCTATTGGTAAGACTCAAAGGCCTGGAGCTAGAGATCTAAAAGAATGTGGGAATGACGGAGATATAGGGAGAGGATGAGCCCTGTGGGTTAAGAAATACATAGAATGGTAAATTTCAAGTTGAAGTGTGTAGAGAATTGCTAAGTGTGATTATTTACTCTATCAAGACGAGGGCAGGAGAAAATGTAAGTTCATAAATGTATTTTAAGGAAAGGAGAAAGGTATTTTAAGTAGATGACAGCAAGGGAGGCAATATAATTCCATAAGTTATTTGAAGCTATATTCTTCCTTTCTCTCTCAAGAATATCAATTTCATCAATTTAGAGACAAAGAGAAGCATGCAAGAAGAAAACAGTATAGAAAGGAAAGTCATTGAAATAGTACCCAGGAAGGAAAGGGAACCCCTGTAACTGCCCAAATATAAAGGTCTATCACAGTGGTCAGCAAACTCATTAGACAACAGAGCCAAATATCAACAGTACAACGATTGAAATTTCTTTTGAGAGCCAAATTTTTTTAACTTAAACTTTTTCTAACGCCACTTCTTAAAATAGACTCACCCAGGCCATGATATTTTGTGGAAGAGCCACACTCAAGGGGCCAAAAGGCCATATGTGGCTCAGGAGCCACAGTTTGCCGACCACAGGTCTATCACATTATACAAATTGCATTTGGGTCAGGGAACTAAATATCTGACTTGTCTGGCTCCAAGATTAATGTAGCTCACTTAACTAGAAATCACTTACAAGTAGCCTCAGCTATTCAGAACCTAACTGAGAACTAGAAAATAAGCAAAACAATGCTCTCAACAGGTAAAAGAACTGTTATAGTTCCAAGTACTAAAGTTTATGTACTTTATTCATAAGAGATCCCTACTGATCGTAATCACAGTACGGCATATAATAATTTTAAATATTTAGGGACATATTCTAAAATCTCAGTATCCTTTTCCCAGACCATAGTAGATTAAATACAGCAAAAAAAAAAAAAAAAAAGCTGGAAGATAAAGAGATACAGAATACTACTAGAAGAAGCAGATACATTAAAAGCAGCAAGAACAGTGACTGGAGAATACAAACTTAAAGGATGGAAAATACGAACTCACCAAAACATAATTAACAAAGCACAGCAATTGGAGTCATTCAGCAAAAGGCAAACAGTTTGGTACATCTCAGTAACCCAGGAAGATACAGAATAAATATATATACTAGTATGTATATGTGTATATATGTGTGTATGTACATATGCATGTGTATGTATATAAAGGTAATTCTGTTAGAATGTATAAGTAATCTCTAAATTAATAAGGACAAGAAAGCCTAGGCTATGAAAAGAAGAGTAAAAAAACAGTCTATAGGAGTGGATAGGTTTGGCCCAAATAAAAGCAGAGGAAAGGGAAGGCAAGGGAGAAAACAGAAGGGGAATTTCACTTAAATGTATTTTAAAATATTTAGTCAAATTGCCTTCTTATTGTCCCCTGAACTTTTTCAATATATGTTTTAAGTAAAAAATGTCCAGGTAAGCTTATGTTACTACAAACTTGAGTATTTTATCTAATAAGCTAACTCTTAGGGAAAAAATTTTTTTCATTTTTAAGAACACGAGTTTTTAATTTCCTCAAAATACTGAGGCATAATATAAAAAAGCCCTTTAAATTTACTCTTTACACTTAAATATAGAGTGTCCCAAAAATATATGCACATACATGTTTTTGATAGTTCAAATGATGTTTCTTTCTTTTGCAATTTAACATGCTGGAATTAATAATTATTCAAAGTGTGTATACATTTTTTGGGGGACATCTGTATTATAAATATTTGGAACAAGAGACAAAACAAGTTTTTAAGCAAATGGAAAGTATTTCCTTCTAAAACAAGAAATAAATTAGGTCACATATTAAAAACTTCTGCAACCCTAGCCAATCTGGCTTAGTGGATAGAGTGTTGGCCTGTGGACTGAAGGGTCGATTCTGGCCAAGGGCACATGCCCAAGTTGCAGGCTCTATCCTAAGGTGGGGGGAGGAAGGGGGACATACAGGAGGCAGACGACCAATGATTGTCTCACATCACTGACCTCTCTCCTCTCTCTCTCATGTCTACAGCCAACCTGTAGCTCTGAGGTTCGGCACCTGCCGTCTCCACCACAAACACCAGCGGCTGCTATAAATTACTCGGACTGTGCCAGCCCTGTGCAAAGTATTCTAAAACTATCCTTTATAATTGTTCCCATACCCTAAGAAGGAGGTACTATTATATCCACGTTTTAAGTTAAAAAGAAAAACAAAAAACAAAAACTGAGCTCAAGAGGGCCTGAATATCAAATCTCATCATCTGTCTTCTTATTTCTGGTTAAAACATTAAGTTGAAGAGTTGATTTTAATCTCTAGTCTATTATTACACCTGGTGAATGTATGGGTTCTCTAGTCCACAAGGACAGCTTCCTTAAGATCAGCCCAAGCACACACTGCTTTCATTGCTCAGATGAAACTCCCAGGCACTGTAAGAGATGTTTTCTCTGGAAAGTCCTTATATTTAAAACATCTTGCCCTTTGGTACTTAGATAAGCCTGTATATGTTGCTGCTTTGACATAAGCCAAGTGCATGCAGAATAAATCTATTAATAGCATGTACTCAAGACAGACTAATTGAAAAATCTTGAGAATACAAGAGAGTATCTCTTTTAAGATTTAAATAATATTTTTCTTAGATGCTTAAATAGCTTATTTTAAAAACATATGTTATTTTTATTATCCTAAGAGACCAGAGTAAACTTTCTAGACATAAAACTCCATGCCAGATTCCTATGATTTATTATATAATTTTACCTCCATTTCTAAAAAAATAAATAAATCATAATTTATCAAATAAGTTTGCTCTTATCAATGTTTCCCCAAAATGTGTTACTCACTAAAACATATTTAAATGTAAGATTCAATGGTAAAATATGTTTAAAAAACACAAGGTCAAACTAAGTTTCTTTACTGAAAAAAAAAATAAACATCCCAGAATCAACAGAGTGATTTTATTTTTCTTATAGGTGAAAGAAAAGTCATATTGAAATATATATGTATTTGCCTTACATCAAATAGTTCATAGGCAAAACCTAAATCTAAATAAAATTTTTAATTCTATTTCTCATCATCTCCCAGTAATCTGACACCTGTTTCCAAGATCTTGTCAACTTATCCTATAAAGAGGTAATATGCAAATTGACCATCACTCCAACACACAAGATGGTTGCCCCCATGTGGACACAAGATGGCCGCCACAAGATGGCCACCACAAGATGGCCTGCATGGGAGGGCAGTTGGGGGCGACCAGGCCTGCAGGGGAGGGTAGTTGGGAAGTTCCAGGTATGCAAGGGAGGGCAGTTGGGGTGACCGTGACGGCAAAGGAGGGCAATTGAAAGTGACAAGCCTACAGGGGAAGTCAGTTGGGGGGGAACAAGGCCTGTAAGGGGGGGCAGTTGGGGGGAGGGGGGAGAGCAGGCCTGCAGGGGAGGACAATTAAGGGTGACCAGGCCTGCAGAGGAGGGCAATTAGGGGTGTACCAGGCCTGCAGGGGAGGGCAGTTAGGGCTGACCAGGCTGGCAAGGGAGGGCCGGTGTACAAAATTTGTGCATGGAAAGAAGGGTGCCCTCAGCCCAGTCTGCACCTCTCTAATCCGGGATTCCTCGGGGGATATCCGACTGCCGGTTCAGGCCCAATCTCAGGGCCATCTCTCTCACAATCCAGGAACTCTGGCTCCTAATCGCTCATCAGCCTGCCTGCCTGGTGGCTTCTAATTGCTTACCCCCTGCCAGCCTGATTGTCTCTCACTGCTTTTGCATGCTGGCCTAATTGCCCCTAACTGCCCCCATGGCAGACTGGTTGCCCCTAACTGCCCCCCCTGCTAGCCTGGTCACCCCCAAATGCACTCCCCCTCCAGCCTGGTCACCCCTAACTACCCCCCACACAGCTTGGTTGCCCCTTACTACCCCCCATGCTGGCCTGGCCGCTCCCAACTGCCATCCCTGCCGGCCTGGTCACCCCTAACTACCCCTCCTGCCAGCCTGGTTGCCTCCAACTTCCCCCCTACTGACCTGGTCACCCCTCACAGCCGGCCCCGCCAACCTGGTCACCCCACACAGCCTGCTATTCAGTTATTTAGTCATCCCTCACTAACCCCCCTGCCAGCCTGGTCGCCCCATGCAACCTGCTTGTTCAGTCATTTGGTTGTCCCTCACTAACCCCCCTGCCAGCCTGGTTGTAGGCAGCCATCTTGTGAGGGTGTTATAGTCAATTTGCATATTACCTCTTTATTATATAGAATGCTTTTAAAAGTTCTTAGTACAGAGAGTAAAGTCACAGGAACAACATACAGGCAAAATCTCGTTATATCAAACATCAAGGCAACCCAAGTTTTTCTGTTCCTATGAATTCTAGAATAATTAGATTATAGGCATAATCCTAGTGAAAGGGACTCTGTAGAAATACAAAATTGGAGGGGTGGAAGTAAGAGCATTCTGCACTAAAAAATGATAAGGGGGATACACACACCTTCACTCTGGCCTTCTTTTCCCTCTTTTTAGTCATTTTCTAGATTTCTTTCAAATGGGTGATTTGAATATTTAGGTGGGCTTTTTGTGCCTACAAACTATGAGAATAGCTGAAAGGCAATTGCAGCTTAATAGGGCATAAAGCCAAGAACTGGGTACAGCTAAAGTCTCATCACTCTGTTTAGTTCAGGTCTATTTTCTCCAACCGGTCTAAAAGGCAAACAGAGCCCTAACTGGTTTGGCTCAGTGGATAGAGCGTCAGCCTGTGGACTGAAGGGTCCCACTTTTGATTCCAGTCAGGAGCATGTACCTTGATTGTGGGCACATCCCCAGTAGGGGACATGCAGGAGGCAGCTGATTAATATTTCTAATTCTCTATCCCTTTCCCTTCCTCTCTGTATAAATCAATAAAATATTTTTTGAAAAATAAAAAATAAATAAAAGGCAAATAGTGCATATACAGATACTCTCAGCACAAGCAAAGAAAGTCTAAAAAAAAAAGTTTTTATTGTCTGTAATAATGGAATATGAAAAACACAAGTATTCTCAAAAGGCCAACCTCCTTGAGGAAAAAAACACCTCTGTTTTATAAAGTACATCCTTTTATAAGTATTTGCTATATTACAACTTTTTTTTTTTAATGCTAGTGTAAAACGGAGCATGTGAAAGACATTCTGTAAATCAGACAAAATGAGAGCTATGGAACTGTGCCTTAAAATAACTGACAGGACATAAAATCATGCACAGTATTAGTTAAGTAGAAAAAAGAAAACAAAAACAGCCTCATAGTGCTATTAAATTAAATTTAAAAAAAAACAAAAAACTTTGCGATATGAAAAGAAAAAAAGCTGGCAACATGTGTTAAAAGCATAAACAAAACTTAAATGATCAAGATTAAAACTAGAAAAACTACAAGAAATAGGCTCTCACACATGTTTTAGGAACATACCCGCCTTCTACAGAACCTATGAGGCGATCCTCCCTTAGCATTGAGGTTTATAAAAAAATAAAAATGAAAAGAGAAAAATCATCCAATAACTTAACTACTCATTTTTCCATTTAACATATTCAATAAAATGTTAAGTATAATATTTTAAAGAAATGTACTCAAATACTGAACCACATTATTTATGTTAATCTAGAGAAATATAAAATCTGTGCATTTCTTACGCTAAAGAGATTGGCCAGTAATAAAAATAATCTCAGCAAATAAAAATTTTAATATACTAATAATATACTTTTAATATTTAAAACTAACTTTTTTCCAGGAAAAATCTATTATTTCTTTTCATATATTATAATTTTAACATAAAATTAGGAATAATTTTACCTTCAATGAATATTTGCAACTAGACTATTTCTAGTAGGAGACTGGCGGATAAAACAAAATTAATTATACAATTTTTCCAAATTAAAAGTTATTATACATCAACAAATCACTATATCTTAAATACAACCTAGACTTTGAAATTACAATATTTCAGATACGTAATCAAAATCAGTATGGAAATAAGTTATAAGTGCATGTTAGATCGATAATACAATCACATCAACAGTGTAAAAATAAAGAATGTTGAGTGAATCTTACCCTCTGTTCCAATGCTGACTGCGTCTGTTGTCTTAAAAGAGCTTTAAATGGCCCCCCTTCTTTTCCAGCACTACCACTTCCCATTCCTACAGAACATCAGTACATAAATAACAAAAACAACTATAGAAGCAGAAAGATTAATTGCATTCATCTTCATAAATATGAGTCAAAATCTGTTTAAATGATCTAAACATTTAAAAGTATTTGAGGCAAGTAAACACATATTTTATTCAGCAAGTTCACTTGAGAAGCAATATGTCAACATTCTACAGATCACAACTAGTTTTAGACTTAATTTGTTCTATAAATTATTTTTAAATTAATTTAAGGAATTGAATTTTTGCATAATATTCAATTTTTTTAAATGAATCTTCCAATAAAATATAATCATGATAATACCAATTATTTATGCTAACAATTTAAGAATACTAAATATGAGAAATATAAAATGTTTGTCTAAAATTAAGTATAAAAAGAAAAGCACTAATTGTTCTTACTTAAAATATTCTAAAATTCTCTAAAGAGCATGAATTTCAGGGTAATTTTGAAATATAGTCGAATGTGTTTTCTGATAAATTTCATTTCTAAACATAACATTAATGTCAAAACAGTATTAATATCCATAGTTTTCCACACTCATTTGCAAAAATCAACATAAAATTTTTAAAAAACTAAAAATCACAAACATGTAATAGACACATCACAAATGTATGTCGTTATGCATGAAAGAATTATATTTCACAATTTCTTAGATGTATTTTTAAAGGCTTAATTTTAAGTTTCTTTCCCTACCTTATTTTATTCTTTTGATATACAAAAAGATCAACTATAGTAAAAGAATTATAGAAAGCAAGGGACAATTGAGAAACCAGTTCTCTACAAACTAGAGTCACTAGTTCAATCCCACCATTTGAACTGAAGAAACATATAGTCATAGTCACTACAATAACTTTTACATTTTTAGCTGTTCTTGGATAAGGAAACAATGTTAGCATATGTATAGTCCCATTCTATTCTTTTTTTTTTTAAAGGAAATTTATTGTCCTTGTAGTAACCTAAACATGATTCTTAGAGACTATACAATACTAAACATAGAAATTAAACTAAGCTCTTTACAAGAAGCATATTGAAAACCATAAAAGAAAATGTAAGTTTGTAGAGGTAAATGAAATATAAAAAATACAGCAGAATAACTTAAAAATTAAAGCAATGGACATAAAAAATGGATAATGAAATAATATTACCAAAACGAGACTTAAACTGATTCAAACAGAATAATTTACTAATGTAACCATATGGTTTAGCAACATGATGGAACAGGTCCAATGTGAATAGAGTTGGTTGGTATGAAGGGAAAGAAAGTAAAACAGACAATCTAGTAATAAGAACCTAGTAATAATTGGAAATATGTCTACCTAAGTCCTTAGAATATAATACTTTTAATATAAAAATATTTTTAGCAGAATATTCTTAATTATCAAATAATCTTCAATCATGTCCTTGTGATAATTCTAATCACTTAAATCTGTCTAACAATAAGAAAATAAAAAGTACATCCTGCATAAAATACCCACTACTTCTTTGTAGTATCAAAAATGATTCGAAATAAAGGGATTAAAAAGCTGACATTAAGGTGATCCTACCAGAAGCATTCAGGAGCAGCTCGTCACTGAAAGAAACACTTTTCCTCAGAATGGGGCTGACAAGGCTAGAGTGATGAGGGGGGAGGCTAGATTCCGAGAGGAGGAGACAGGACTTTTTAAGATGAAGGGAACCACAAGAGAGAGAGGGGGAGCTGGGATACAGGAAAATCCTAGAACCCTGTGGGTAAGGTGCTGTGGAGGAAAGTAGCAGAGAAAAAGATGTAGATTCAGAAGATGAACAGAAAATGCAGGATAAGGAAAACAATGATGAACCAAAACATAACAGTAAAATGAATTTTAAAATGCATACACAAATTACACTAAGTTTATGATGTCATTAGCAAGACATATACCCAACATAACATAAATAGAAGGCATAGTCTAAAATTTAACAAAACCTTTACAAACTCTGCATTCTTTAATATTTTTAAATTACTAACGTAAGATTTTATGCCATTCTAATAACTTTTAGTCGATTTCTTTAAAACACTTAAATTACCTGCCTTCTTTGCATAAGAAAGTGTATGATTAAAATGTACTGCATCTAACAAATTTTAAAGCCAGAAATTTGTTGCCTCGAATAGAAACACTTATTTAAAGTGGTAAAGTACAGCTCTTCAAATGTTACTATAAAAAAATAAAATTAAAAAAAACATATCCCTATGAGTATTTAAATTGAAAAATTTAACAGTGCCACATTAAGCAATTGCCATTATTCATCTTAAATAAATAAATATTAAGTTATTTCTGTCCAGCTTCAAGATGTTAATACTTTTCTTTCTCTTCTAAAATTTTAAATACTCAAATTTGACCATAGTACTATTTGCATTTACAAAGATTTGGGTTCCTAGGGGTCAAATACCATTTTTTACATGATTAAAAGCCTGACTAAAAAAAGTAAAATTGAGCTTTAGTTAGGTGTCAAGTCAGTATCCTAACACTAGCATTCTAAAATTCCATTGTGACTAGTTGAGTATTTGGGAAAAGCATGAAAATAAAATCTTATAAAATGTCACAAATTTGAATCAACTGAAATAAATCAATATAAATTTTTTTAAAAATAAGAGCTACCAGAAAAACAAGTGATAACTTTCATTATGAATGGGGGGAGGCGGAATTTTGCAGTCTAAGGTTTATTAACTTAATTTTATTTTTGGCTCCTCAGTTTACATATAATAAGTCAATAGTAACCAGCTTATCTATCCTATTTTTCAGGAGACTGATTTTGAATATAGTTAAATTAGGAGACAGAAAATTATGAAATAGATACTGAATTACAGTTTTAGAGATTTTAAAGCAATCATATTTGTCATTTAAAAACTCCACAAGAAATGAGAATGCTCCTCAGGAGTATTTGAAGATATTCAGGGAATCATGATAAAGCCAAAGGACTAAAACTGACTAATATCCTATAAATATGCTACTGAGGTAGTGAATAATTATAGGCAGAACAAAATAATTAATTTAGAGGTAGCTTATAAATATAGAAATATATGAGAATACCTCTATTATAAATAAATTATAAAAACTAAAAAGTTGGAGCTAGAAAATAAAATACAAAAATATTTTCATTTGATAATACAACTGACTAGAAAGCTAAGAGAATAGATTAGTTCAGTTAATGTATTACTTGACAATCTTCTTTAGTCTTGGACTTTATGGTAAACTAAAGAAAAAGAAACAGAAAGATCAAGGAAATATTTTCAAAAATTAAAGATAATATTAAAAAGTGGCCTGGAATACACAAATAAATAGCAACTAAACAGTTTTTAAAATATGTTTAAGAAACCTTATTCTTCAAATACTATCCTAAGTCTTTCTTGTTTTGTTTTTTTTAATTTGTTTTTTAAATGTCTTTTTACTGATTTGAGAGGAAAGGAGAGGTCAAGAGATAAAAACATCCAATGATGAGAGAGAATCATTGATTGGCTGACTCCTGCACACCCCCTATTGGGAATCAAGCCTGCAACCCGGGTATGTGCCCTTGACTGGGATCGAACCCAGGACCCTTCAGTCCATAAACAGACATTCTATCCACTGAGCCAAACTGGCTAGGGTAGTCTTTCTTGTTTTGATTGTCATGAATTCAAGGCCAGAATTTCATTCTTCAGTAAAAAACAAAGTAAACCACTATTTGAAGATACTATTATATATCATAGAAACACATGCTTGAAACCTATATGTTCATGTTGACCAATGTCACCCCAATTAATTTAATAAATAAATGTGGTTTTTTTTTAATTAAAGCACTATTTGAATTGTTCCATGAATATTGTTAAGATGCTACAAATCATGTTAATTTGCTTAACATGAATATGGTTAAGATTACTATCAAATTATCAATTATTTTTGGATGTCAGTCATAATTATCCTATATAATATTATAAAAGCCTAATATGCTAAGTGTCCGACTGTTTATTCAACAAATCAGCCAGTGCTCTGATGTGCACTGACTACCAAGGGGCAGATGCTCTGACTGGTAGGTTAGCTTGCTTCTGGGGCCTAGCCAGACATGCGTGGAGCCCTCCTAAGTTCCCTCCCCGGCCCCGATTGTGCATCGATGGGGTCCCTCGGCCTGGCCTGCACACTCATAATTTGGGGCCCCTCAGGGGATGTCAGAGAGCTGATTTTGGCCTGATCCCCACAGGCCAGGCCGAGGGACCCCATCGGTGCATGAATCTCTGTATCGGGCCTCTAGTGTATATATAAAAATACAAATACTCTTTAAAGAATTAGGTCCTCATATAAATGACTACATTTATAAAAGTAGATATTAAAACTACAGCCTTTTTTAAATATCCTTTTTTACTTTGGAAGTAGTATTGGTTCTGGAATTAGATTTCTTTAAGTTGCCTTCATAAAATCAGGTCATTTTATAAATTTCTTGGCTACCATGAAAATAAGGTTATTCAAAATAAATTAAAAAGAACTATGCAAAATGTTTTCATTAACCTGGCAAGAAATTGCCAGACAAAAATATTTACAAAAATCACAAACTATTAACTTTTAAATATTTTAATTTATTTTTATTTTTCTCAAGAAAAATAATTTAATGATTAAGTTAATTCTATTTTATGTAGTAAGGAACAAAACATATTCAGAAAATTTCAAATTATCAAAATACACATAGGAGACAGAAAAATTATAAATTTCATACATTGAGATAAATGCAAGAATAAGAAAAGAAAAACTGCTATTTTCTAATCTAGAAATTGAGACAAGAAAAAAACATTTTAAATAACAAAAAGTTGATAGGTGCATGTCATGTATTCCAAAATAACCATATTAGTTGTTCTTAAGATTTTTTTCATAATAGAATCTTTATAAATATGTTCCAAAATAGACAGAAAACATGAATTCAAAATGTTTATACTGCATGAGGAATTCAACTGCAACTAACAGTGTTCCCTTTTATTCAAATGCTTTCAGATGTTATTTCTCTTATCTTGAGCACGAAATGAAAAATATAGACTGCAAAAATAAATCCTGGACTTCATAGCTACACTGTGACTAAATCAATAAAATGTTGATTTCTGAACTATACAAAATCTTCCTATTTTAATTCTAGTACTGAAAATGATCACTGTTCACATTACCTTTAACCTTAACTGCCAAAAAACAGGAGAAAAGGCTTGGATGGAAAGCTAACAAGAAACAGAAACAAATCTGAAAAAGAAAAAATAGAAAAAAATAAAAGGTGGGTGGAAGCGCCTTACCAGTTTTGGGTGTCAAACTCAAATCTGTGTCAGAAGAAGAGGACTGTCGGCTGTAGGACTTGGAAGGTGAAAAGGAATAAGTTTGGTTTTTCAGAGGGGTGGAGGGTCCTGATGAGTGAGTATTGGGGTTGGGATCTTCATTGAAGGGAATCCTGCCAGAAGAAGGTGGAGAAATATTAAATAATCATGTGCCAAAGGACTTGATGGAAGGCAGCATGATCCAAACACCAGGAAATATTGGGGCAGGGCCAGCAGTCATTTCTTAAGTGTGGAGCTGGGTATGAGGCCAAAGTCAATCAACTGCTGTTTAACCATTCATCATTCTTCAAATAAAAAATTATCTGCATTGAAACAGTAATAAGCCAAGTAAAAAAGCAAAAAAGCATGAAATGACAGACTAAGGGGGGTAAAAAATATTAAAAGAGAAATAAACAAAAAGAATAAATACATGACTGAAAATACTTTCAAATAAACAATGCTCTTTTTTAAGTTACCAAACAATGATGACTGCAAATGGTGTGTGTAAATATTCACAACTGTTTTTATATTTGCACACACAGATATCATCAAAAGAAAGATGTTTCCTTATCCTATAGCATCAAGAGTGCCACAGCTAAAAATAGAGCAGAGAGGAAATGAATACAGCTACAAAAAATCATTGCATTTATGCAGCATAGTTGCTTACCTCTTTTCCAAAAGCTCTCTTCCACAGAATAAAACAGACCCTACTGTCACAAGTTTTGTACATAAAGAACATAAGCAAATCGGAAGCTTTGGTAGCTATTTTGTTTAGAATCCAATCATCAATGTTTATTCTAATCAAATGTAGTTTAATTGCAAAAATACATACTGGAAGATTCTCCAAAAAATGCACAGAGTGCATTCAGAACCCAGGGTTGTTAGAAGACCTATGGAAGAGACTTTGGAAACTGGAAGAACATTTTCAATTCCATGTAGTTACAGCCTCTATGGAGGCTAAATACAGGATTTCTTCACTGCAACTGGACTTTGAGTGAGAAAAGGAAGAAGCCAAGACTTGTGGTACCTGCCTACACTACCTGCCTGCCTGCCCTCTGCAGCCACTCTGCCTGTGGCCTGCCTTCCCCAGCTCTGGAGTCTGAGCAGTCTCGTACCAGTATAGATGAGAGTGGGAACAGACACAGAGAAGTTCTGAGTAAGTCGTGAGCCAGTAGCAGTGTGAATTGGGCTGTTGTGAGTCGAGCGGCATCCATGGCTTGGAGGATGAACCAGCGGAGACCTGGGGGAATTTGTGGTCAAAGTGGAAGAAAAGAAAACAATACATACAACAGATAGCAAAGTTTTGTTAAAATAATTTCAAAGGAGCTTTAGTTAGGGGAGAGGAATTATTTTTTTAATCCCTAGCATACAAAAAAAAAAAAAAAAAAAAAAAAAAACAAGCTGAAAAGTTTTAAAAATAGCTAAATATTTATTAATTCATTAGGACATAATTATAGTTTTAAAGGATCAGATTTATAAATTAGAACTGTGAATACGAAAGATAGCAGGTAGAATTGTCAGTGGAATTAAATTTCTGAAAAAGACTAAGATTTAGATTAAAGCTGCTCTAAAATGTTTATTATTTTGATCAGCACAGAATTATAGGAAGAAAATACTCATAAAAGTGGAAAGTCTATAAAGTTCTTAGATTATTTTTAAACTGATATATAAATAATTGCTGATATAATTAACTATATTTTCCATAAATAAAGTCTAACTAACAAACCTATTTCTGTCTAGAATCTTGAGATAAGGACACTTAAGAAAAGAAAAATGACACCATAAAGAGAAACGATTGAAGTAAATGGCTATAAGCTGATATAAACATTGCCTATTTTAGCATATCAAGTATATAGCTTAAACTCAAGTTATACTGGGAACCAAACAAAACAAAGAAACACCGTTTTTAAAAACACAGTAATAAAGCAATGTAAATTATTTTTGTCTAGCTCTCTCAAACAAATTATTTAAACTTAAAATAGATTAAACTACATTCTGAATTGAAATATAAGATATCAACTTATATCCTGCAATAGACCACATCATGCACATGTATGAACATATTTAGATCAGATACACAGATGTATATTCATGTACAACATTTCAAAATAAAGTATATTACAGAACTAAAATTTCTAACTTCATATTGGCAGTTATTTCACTATGCAATGCCTTTGCTTATGTATAATAAGGTGAAAATAATCATTATATATTCTCTAAAAATTATCATATCTCCAGATTTTAATTTTAATTTTTTGTTCTTGTTACTCCTCACTCAAGGATATTTTTCCACTGATTTTTTTTTTTTTTTGAAAGAGTGGAAGGGAGGGGGAGAGACAGAGAAAAACACAGATGTGAGAGAGACACAAGAATTGGTTGCCTCCTGCACACTCCCTGACCAGGGCCAGAGATCAAGCCTACGACCAAAGTACATGCACTTGACCTGAATCAAACCTGGGACCCTTCGGTCGGTGGGCCAGCGCTCTATCCACTGAGCCAAACCAGCTAAGGCAATCTTATCACAATTTTTTTTAGAATTCAAATTAAAAGCAGGCCAAGAACCCAACTTTTCCGGGCATCTCTTTTACTTTACCATTGCCCCATAGACACTCCCAAAATCACAATTTTTCAAGGTTCAAACATAAGCTACCATTAATTGACAATAATGGTCTACAGACTACTTTCTGGAAATATCACTGATTTTACAACAGGACAATTGTTTGCTTTTGTTGCTAGTTTAAATTTAAAATGTGTTTAATATAACTACCGTGTTTCCCCAAAAATAAGACATCCTCCGAAAATAAGACCTACTTACAGGTTTTCTTCTGAGTGAAATATAAGGCATCCCCCCGAAAATAAGGCCTAGGCTAAACATGAGAGATTTGGTCCACTGATTTTGAAAGAAATGGAGTCACAAGAAATTCACCAGGAAATTCAGGAATTGGATTGTTATGATGTTGTTCCAGAAGATGATGACATGATTGTCATTGAATAAATGAGTAAATTCTTGATACTGTAAGATTCACAGTTTGTCTGGTTTGTGTTGACAACTACCGTACTACCATACCATATACAGGTAATAAATTTCCTTTATTTTCATTTAATAATAAATGTGTACCGTATTCTTCTTCATGGAAAAATAAGACATCCCCTGAAAATAAGACCTAGCGCATCTTTGGGAGCAAAAATTAATATAAGACACTGTCTTATTTTCGGGGAAACAGAGTAATAAAAATCAAACATCTCAACAATGATTTATTTGTATACAAACTGAGTGAGGTTTTTGTTTTGTTTTCTCTTTCTCTGTTGAAATGACTAATAAAGTTAACAAGTCTAAAAATCAGCCCTGGATGGTGTGGTTCAGTCATGACAGAGTCACCCCATGCACAGAAAGGTCTTGAGTTCAATTCCCAGTCAAAGGCATGTGCCTGGGTTGTAGGCTGGATCCAGCCCCAGTCAGGTCATGTGCAGGAGTCAGCCAATTGATGTGTCTCTCTCACATCAATGTTTCTCTCTCTCGCTCGTTCTCTTTCTCTTTCTCTCTCTGCTCTGTCGCCTTCCCTCCCTTCCACTCTATAAAAAAAGAAACAATGGAAAAAATGTTCTCGGGTGCTGATTAACAAAACAAAACAAGAAAGTCTAAGAATCAGTGTCATACAGAGGAGAAATTATGGCTAAAATCTCTTAGTATTTTTTTTTCTGAAGTAGAGAAGTAATAAATCATATTTAATTACTCTTTGTACCATCGAGATAATTCAACTAGGAAACAAAAAAGATTTACATTGTATATTACATTGAACATCTAAAAGAAAAAAAAAATATGGAGTAGAACACACATTAATAAAGGTAAAATAAAATAAAATGAGCATTATAAATGTTCAAATTATGATATCACATTAAAAACTCAAATACACTGAAGCATCATCATCATAATGTATTTTTGGAGTTCTAATTTGTAACAATCTCTTTGCATGAAAGGCTGCCTTTCTATAATACCCTAGTGGCACTTCTAATATCAAATCCATTCAAGCAGGAACATAATCCAAACTATCTTTTATTAAATTCTCATCTAGAATCAACAATGTTATAATTAAATATCAGAATAATTATAATCAACTGAATCATAAAACAACTTTAAGCTAGTACTCAAATTGATTCATTAACAAAAATACAAAAGAAGCTAGTTGAAATAAAGCATTCTGAATATTGAGGGGTTTTTTGAGGGGGGGTTAAAATAACATGACTTAGTAGTAAGATGTCTTGCAGAAAAATCTTAATGAAGCAACTTATATTCTCCATGTATATTTGACAATTTAAGGCAAATGGCTACAACAAAATTAGAAAAAGAGAAAACGTACATAATCCCAGAAGATTTACATTATTGAAACACTTCCTGAATGCAAATAAAATATATTTCCCTAGTACTCAAACATAATTTTAAGACACTAACAGGTACTATAGCTTTCTCTTTCCACTAAGTTAGTGAAACGAGGAAAACTTCAGAAATCACAGATGCAAAAGTCAGACCCCTGAAGGCAGTGTAGGGTGGCAGGAGGAGGAAAGAACCAGGTCCTTACTTAAATCTGCTATGCAAAGAGGAGAAGAAAAAAACACCTGAATTCCAAATTCCCCCAAAAATCTACCCCTGCAATTTGACTTCCCCTGAAGTAGCAGGCAGTTGATATATTTTTAAGACACAACATTTTAAGTAGAATATAAAGCAAATTCACTCTTTCATTTTATTTCAAATAGTTTTGAAATAAAATGAAAGAGTGAATTTGCTGTAGAGTGAATTATTTGCAACGTATTTCCAAACAAAATAAGGCAATATATGTGCTCCCTCTCTTGAGCTAAAATTTAATCTGGATTAACTAAAGGCCAGCAGAAAGAAATAAATAAAAAGAATAAACTTAAGATAAAGGGGAAAATTTTTTTTTAAAAGAGTGTTTCCGGTCCTGGCTGGTTTGGCTCAGTGGATAGAGCGTTGGCCTGCAGACTGAAGCATCCCAGGTTGGATTCCTGCTAAGGGCACATACCTGGGTTGCTGCTGCTCGATCCCCAGTGTAGAGCGTGCAGGAGGCAGCCGATCGATGATTTTCTCTCATCATTGATGTCTAATTCTCCCTCTCCCTTCCTCTCTAAAATCAATAAAAAAAAATTTTTTTTTAATGTTTTTTAATTGTTTTAGCTGGGCACATGCCTCGTTGTGTGTTTGATCCCCAGCAGGGGGCATGCAGGAATCAGCCAATCAATGATTCTCTCTCATCACTGCTATTTCTTTCTCTTTCTCCCTCTGAAATCAATTTAAAAAATTAAAATTAAAAAAAATGATTGTTTTTAAAAAGATTGTGATTGTTTTCTAGTTAACCTCTCTTGACTACTGCTGAACTAGAAAACATTTCAGGTTTCTAAATACAGAATTCTGACTCTGATGATAAAGGAAAGGGGTCAGCAAACCAAACACAGGCCAAATCCATCCTGCCATCAGTTTTGTGAGAAGTAAGTTTTATTGAACACAACCATACTCATTAATTTGCATACTGTTGATGGCTGCTTTCCCAGGATAGTAGCTGAGTTGAGAAGCTGCTGTTGGCAAAGATTAAATTATTTACCTGAACCTTCTGGTTATTTACAAAAAGTTTGTTGATCCTTATCTAGAAGACTCTCTAGATCAGTGATTGTAATTGGAAGTACTATTGGCATTTAGGATGGAAAAAGTTTTTATAAGGAAGAGTTGTCCCTTGCTGTACAGAATAGTCAGCATTTCTAATCTCCAACAAAATCATCTCTCTCACCCAATCATTACGACAGAAAGTCTATTACAAACATTCCCTTTTCACAGCACCAGCACCACCATTTTGAACGATGACAGGCTGAATCCAGCCAACAAAGTTGTTTTCTTGAATTACACTTTTTTTTTAAATGTGTGAGCCTAAACCCCTTTAGACAGGATCAACAAACTCCTTTTTTTAGTAAATAAAGATAGACATTATATCGCTAGTGCCTGAAATACCTGGCCTTTTATTTATATACTCTAGGACTGTTGCACAGATTTGTGCACCAGTGGGGTCCCTGAGCCTGGCCTGCACCCTCTCGCAATTTGGGACCCTCTCAGGGAATGTAACAGTGCCCCAAGTGGCAGGCAGCCAGGAGGAGCCAAAGCTGGGGCCAGGCACCACGCCGCTCCAGCTCATCCTGGCCCCGCTGCACCTGCCGCCTCCACTCAATAGCACTGCCGCAGAGGCAGGAGAGGCTCCCCCCCCCCCCCGCCCGCTCCCCCCCCTCTCCGCCGCAGCTGCAATCACCAGCCATGAGCCCAGCTTGTGGCTGAGTGGCACTGGCTGTGGGAGTGCACTGACCACCAAAGGGCAGCTCCTGCATTGAGTGTCTGCCCCCAAGTGATCAGTGTGTGTCAAAGTGACCAATTGACCCATTGCTTAGACATATATATATATATATCATTGATTGTCTGCCTCTTGCATGCCCCACACTGGGGATCAAGCCTGCAACCCAGACATGTGCCCTGACAGGAATCAAATCACGACTTCCTGATGCTCAACCACTGAGCTATGCCAGCCGGACAGTACCTGGCCTTTTATAGAAAAAGTTTTCTAATGTCTCCTTCAAACAGTCCTCAGTATTACCTATTTAATTATACCCAATTCTTTATATAAACTGCTTGGCCTCTGTAGACATTCAAGTTTGAGACAAAGTCAATCTTTCTTGCTTTCTATAATATGTTGCTAATAATAAACATAACTGAATTACCAGGTATAATATTTTAAGCATTCCCCAGAGAATAAGTAAAATTCCACACAATTCATAGATATTCATTTTATGCTTTAGATATACAGTGTTTAAAGATCTAGATAAGTTTAATTGTATCTTACTTTATTTAAATTTCATATTAGGACTATATATATATATATATAGTTTTAAGCTTCAAATGTTGAGTCATCATTAGGAAAAAATGTATGTTGAACAACACTACTAATTTTTGAGCCAAATGAAAATGTATAGTTAAAAGATAAAAAAGTTCCTTAAGAACAATTCAGTGATTCATACTTACTCCTTCATGTCTTTGGATGGGGAATTACATGCAGGAAGGAATGCTGCTGGGCTACTTAATTTATCCAGTGTACACGCTGTTCCTATGGCTCGTACCACTAAACCAGATTCGCCTTCCAGATCAAAACACTGTAAGTACCCAACAACCGCATTTCCTCTCATCTCAAGCACTTTCAAGCCAATCTTCCTCTGCAGTTCACCTATAAAAAAGGAAGGAAACTCATTCCGCTTTATATCTCAACATTATATAAAATAAAACTGGATATAGTAGTAATAAAAGAGTCTAAAAAATCATGGATTTTTTAGAAATTGAAGGGAACCAACTTTCATGGAGGTAAGATATTATTAGCTACATTTTACAGATGTGGCAGGTAGCATTTATTTACCAAATAATTTTCAGTTGTGTGCTATGTGCCTGGCCTTCCTCCTCCTTCTAAGTGCTAGATATATCAAGATAAACTAGAAAAGTAAAGCCCCAAATCTAATAGAGTTTACATAATGTGAGAGAAACAAACAAAAACAACAAATATAAACACTATATATAACATATAGAAAACATAACATATAATATAGCCTAAAATAATTACATATAATATAATGTATGCATTATGTATTACATATTATATAATACAAATATGTAGAATAAATATAATACAAAGTAACAATTAAATGTATTATTCAATATATTAAGTCTAATGCATGTTAACTATGAATTAACATATTCATAACTATTTATAAATATTAAATAAATATAATACTACTATAAGTATATATTTATAAGTATAATTTAAAAGTAACAAATATAAATACACTTATAAAGAAGTAATATAAGTATAAATATAATCAATTTGATAGTAATATAAGTGTAAATATCTACTTAAAATACATAAATTTATTAGATATAATTTTTTCATTTTTTTCTTTATTGATTAAGATATTACATATGTGTTCTTACCCCCCATTGCCCCCTCACCGCACTTCCATCATGCCCTCACCCCCTGGTGTCTGTGTCCATTGGTTAGGCTTATATGCATGAATACAAGTCCTTTGGTTGACCTCTCCCCCTTACCCCTCCTTCCCCTACCTTCCCTCTGAGGTTTGAGCATCTGTTGGATGTTTCTCTGCCTCTGGCTCTGTTTTATTTTTTAATAAATCTTCATTGTTCATATTATTACAGTTGTTCCTCTTTTTCCTCCCATAGCTCCCCTCCACCTGGTTCCCACCCCACCTGTCCTTACCCCCACACTGTCCTCGTCCATGTGTATTTTTGTCCAGTCTCTTCCCACATCCCACATTCCTCCCCCCCCCCCGCCCCCAAGAATTGTCAGTCCACTCCATTTCTATGCCCCTGATTCTATTATATTCATCAGTTTATTCTGTTTCTTAGATTTTTAATTCACTTGATTTTTAGGTTCACTTGTTGATTGATATGTATTTGTCACTGTTGTTCATAATTTTTATCTTTACCTTTTTCTTCTTCCTCTTCTTAAAGAATTCCTTTCAGCATTTCATATAATACTGGTTTGATTGTGATGAACACTTTTAGCTTTTTCTTATCTGTGAAGCTCTTTATCTGACCTTCAATTCTAAATGATAGCTTTGCTGGGTATTGTAATCTTGGTTGTAGATTCTTGCTATTTATCACTTTAAATATTTCTTGCCACTCCCATCTGGCCTGCATAGTTTCTGTAGAAAAATCAGCTGACAGTTATATGGGTACTCCCTTGTAGGTAACTGTTTTTCTCTTGCTGCTTTTAATATTCTCTATTTTGTCTTTTGCCCATGGCATTTTAATTATGATATGTCTTGGTGTGGTCCTCTTTGGATTCCTTTTGTTTGGGGTTTTCTGCACTTCTTGGACTTGTAAATCTATTAGGTCTAGTAATAATTAATATCGTTTTCTAATACTTTTTTTTTAATCGAATTTATTTAAACAATACAACAAAATTTAATCAACAATATAGTTGCTGTTGTTTTCTACTACTTGTGCCCAACGCTCAGGAAGCATTTTAATCCCTCTGTTGTAAAATTCTTGTGATTTTGATGCAAAAATTTCGGTCAATGCATTTTTGAGGCATTCTTCATTATTAAATTTTTTTCCAAGAAGAAAGTTTTGCAAAGAACGAAACAAATGGTAATCGGAAGGGGCAATATCAGGAGAATATGCAGGTTAAGGGAGAACTTCCCATTCCAACTGGCGCAGTTTTTCAGCAGTGATTCTTGCAGTATGCGGTCGTGCGTTATCGTGGTGAAGAATTACGCCCTTCTGATTAATCAGCGCGGGTTCTTTTTCTCTTAAAGCTTGGGCTAACCTTTCCAATTGGGCACTATACACTGCACTTGTAATGGTTTGGTTAGATGGTAAAAGTTCATAATGAAGAATTCCTTTAAAATTCCACCAAACACACAACATCACTTTTTTCGCATGCAAGTCAGGTTTTGGCGTGGGCTGCGGAGCCTCATTTTTGTCCAACCATTGAGGCCGCCTTTTCAAATGAACATACAGCACCCATTTTTCATCTCCGGTAACAATTTGCTCTAAAAACGGCAAACGGTTTTGACGAGAGAGGAGCGAACTGCAAATTGTGACTCTTTGATTACGGTTGTTGTCGGTCAACTCATGAGGAACCCATTTTCCAAACTTTTGGACTTTGCCAAGTGCACGCAATTGATTGGAAATTGTTTTTTGTGAACAATTTAAAGTTGTCGCAAGCTCTTGTTAGGTAATTTGAGGATTTTGCACCAAAAGAGCTTGAAGAGATTCTTGATCAAAATTGGACACACGGCCTCGACCACTCTTGTCATCTAACGAAAAATTTCCCTCACGAAATTTCTCAAACCAACGCTGGCATTTTCTGGCGCTAACTGCATCTTGACCAAGAGCACTACAGATGTTTTTTGCAGCCTCACTTGCTTTTCTTCCTAATTGGAACTCGTAAAGCATGCAGTGCCGAATATGCTCTTCATCCGCCATCTTCTTAGCCCTAGTTTTGCAACAAAAACCAAACCAAACACAAACTTTTTCAAGCAAAACTTGTTAATTGCACTTCACACATTCTGTAGATACCACGTGTTTGAAGGTTATGTCAATACAAGTCAACGCCAAGCAAGATTTTAAACGAATGTTTAAAAACGACATTAATTATTACTAGACCCGCTATTTCTTTCACCAGGTAGGGGAAGTTTTCTCTCATTATTTCTTCAAATAGGTTTTCAATATCTTGTTCTCTTCTTCTGATACTCCTATAATTTGGATATTGGCACACTTGAAGTTGTCCCAGAGGGTCTTTACACTATCTTCATATTTTTTAATTCTTTTTTCTTTTTTCTTTTCTGGTTGGGTGTTTTTTGCTTCTTCATATTTCAAATCTTTGACTTGATTCTTGCAATCCTCTTGTCTGCTGTTGGATCTCTGTATATTATTTTTTATTTCAGTCAGTGTATGCTTAATTCCTAATTGGTCCTTTTTCATATCCTTGAGGGTCTCATTATATTTCTCAAAGGTTTCTAGAAAATTCTTGAGTAACCTTCTAACTGTGGTTTTGAACTCTATATCCAGTCATTTGCTTTTCTCCATTCCCTTCATTTGTGACCTGGTTCTTTGTCTCTGCATTTTGGTTGCTTTTCTGTGTTGACAGAGTGGCTTTGTGTATCCTATAGGGCCCAGTGGTTCAGCCTCCCTAATTACCTAAGGTGGACACTCTTGGTGCACCCTTCTGTGGGCCGTGTGCACAGTCTTATTGTAGTTAAGCCTTGATTGCTGTTGGTATCTCTGGGAGGAATTGACCTCCAAGGCAATTGGCTGTGAGGATCACTTGTGTCTATGATGGGAGAATTTCTGTGCTGGAGATACCCTTATGGGGCAGAACTTGCTTCAGTGGGGCTTTGGCGTTCACTGAGTCACCCCCTGAGTGTGTCTCTTATGGATGTGAAGAATTGTAATCTGGATGGTCTCATTCTGACCACTGGAGTGCAAAGTCAGCCTCTGCCTAAAGCCACCCAGCAGGAGCTACAGAGGATCTACAGAGAAATCCTTTTTGTTTGGGGTTTGGAGGTACCCAGATGAGATCCAGCTGTGAAGCAATGCAAGTTGCTATGGAACCTTGAGGCTACTTTTGGTGGCTCTGGGGCTCTCAGACCCAGCTGCAGCTTGTTAGGTTTAGATTGCAAAAGGCCATGTCTTTCATTTGCAAAAGCCCCTGCACACAGCTTAGGTGGGGTTGTAAATTAGGTGGGTGGTGTCTCAAAGAACCACCGGGGCAGAGCAAATAGCAATGACTGCCTGTCAGCCCTACCCCAAAGAGGAGCCCTGGGTCTCAATGTCCCACGGTAATCACTGCAAGCACCTCTGAGAGAAAGCTGCCCTCGCATTCTGGCCTAATGCCAGACAGTCCAGTTTCTCTCTGTATGAGTCGGGATCCACTTAGTCTGGCCCGGAACTGGAGTTCAGAGCAGTCAGAAGCTTGTAACTCTCCCTTCTGAATGAAAAAAACAACAGTGTACCCAGTTGCCAGCCTCTTTTGTGTGCACCTCAATACCTCCACACCTCCTACCAGACTCCATGCACTTTTCTCTTTCCTTCTAGTTGTAGAATTTGTACTCAGCCAGGCTTTTTGTGGTTCTGGATGATATTCGTTTTGACTTTTCGTTGTAGTTTTGATATGGTTGTTTAGGTGTTTACCTACATTGCCATCTTGGTTGTTCTCCTCCTCTATTGTTTTATTTTTTTAATAAATATAAGTGTAAATATCTATTTAAAATACGTAAATGTATTAAATATAAATATTTATATTTATTATCTAGAATATATGTATGAATATGTGTGCATACAGTCACTCACACATACAGTATGTCCTTGGGTTACGTCGGAGATCTGTTCCTATGGTGTGATGTAATGCGATTTTCACAGTCAGACCCACCTACATAAGCACCTACATGGAGCACATACACAACAGCAATGAAGTGAAACAGTAAAATAAATTTAAAAGAAAGATAACAATTCCTGACCTTATGATAAAATATAGTAAATAATAAAAAATATAAAGCACATATGTACATACATCGAAATGATGGAACTTTTTTTTTTTTTTTATAAATAAATGGGAGATGGCAACATAAGCACGAAACGATGTACGTTGAATCCGATGTACCCCGAGGTCTGCCTGTATATACATATAAACATAAATTTAGGTAATAAGTTCGTCAAAGAAAAATAAAAGTAATTAGGTAAGAGTGGCAGGTAGGGTAGAAAGAGCTATAAGTTGTCAGAGAAGAACCATGAAAAGGCAGCATTTGAACAGAAAGTATTAGAGAGATTACCTAAACCTGACTAGATATGAATGCTAGAGGAAAAATACTAGAAACCAGTTTCCTACCCCCTTGCCAGGGCACTTTCTACTATACCACTTGATGAACACAAGTTCTTTTTACTGCCTAGTTAAGAAGAATTATAAGCTTCTGATTAGATTTATCCTTGCTATAAGACGGAAATTCATGTGTTCAGGAGGATGGGGGTAGAGAATCAGTCACTTATAATTCAGTCTTCTTTATAAAATTTGAGGTAACATGTCAAAAGGAAGTGAAAAATTTTGGAGTATTAAGTCAATCAGTAATAAAAGTGGTTTTTTAAATACCTGACATTAAAGAGATGAGTCTCTGTCTGGCCTCATTTGATGCCCTTGGTGTTCGAATTCTATCAATCCACTGATATTCTGGGTCTTCATTAACCACAAGTTCTTCTACAAATCCATGAATTATTACAGCTCTATAGCACTTTGGAATAGATGTTGCTATTAAAAGAGATGATTTATTATGCTTCTATTTATCACAAGGTTAAGTCAATTTTTTTAAATGTACAACTAAGTTCTTACCTTTTGGATAAATAGTACAAGAACATCTTCTACTGTGAAAATCTAAATGCAATTATATAATACTTGCAATCAGTCTTCTAAGTTCCATTTTACTCTTACAAAAAAATCGTTTTCTTTCATGAGACTCTCATATTTACCATGTAAGCATAATGAATATACATTGTACTTTTGTACTTAGAAAACAGCTAAGACTTCTTAAATAGCATTCTATACAAAATACAAAATTAAAGTCTGCTAGCCGATTATCTAAATAGGTGAAAAACAGATAAATATACAAAAAACTTTACTTACTCAAAGCCCTATGAAAAAGATCTGTACACCAGACTCAAAAATCAAGCCTTCCTGACATAATTTGAGGAAAAATAAAGCTCTGAAGTTTCTAATAATGCATGGCCATATGGCCAGTGTTTCAGTAGTCACTCTACTTAACAGACTCATTTAATATGTAAAACACTAAATATCATTGGATTTAAGTAAAATCTGGTCACATTCAAAAAGAAAAGAGCCTCAGATCATCTATATCAAACTAGTTTCTTAAAATAGACATTTAGACCTTGAAGCTAACTCAACTAATTAGGATTTTTCAAGCCTATTAACCCAAACTGGCTATAAATTGCCCAGATCTGCCCAATTCTGATGCATACTACATGGTATTCATGAGGCTCCCTATCTGTGCACACTTATATAATTTTAGATAGCACCATAGCTTAGCAATACTACTCTGCTCCTATCTTTCAGTGCTCTGTACTAAAATAAAATCCCACTGGATATTTTTTTTCTTTTTGACAGTTATACAATGTTTAATATAGTCATATCTTTTACACATTTGGCAAAAGTAACTTGTTCTAACTTATGAAAAAATTTACTGGGCAATAAAATATTAACTTCTGTGCAAAGTAATAAAATAAATATGTACAGCTATTTTTAAACCTTGTTTTTCATAAGTGTTGACCTAATGGTATAAGAGTAAAACCTGCATTAGATGAGTGGCCATAAGCTTTTCTATAAGTTGGTGTCTAATAATTATTGTTAAGGTCAGTGGAGAATTCTACAAGATACATACATGTATCTATCACAAAAGGCTACACATCTGTTTTAAATGGCCCATTTGAATGAATTTTGAACATGCCACACATATAGCCTCATCAAACTGTTTCCCCAAATGCAAATATTAGAGATTTGGGATTTGTTTTCATTGACTGAGAAAGTGCAGCAAGTCCTTCTCCCTCTATGCTGTTGCTGACTAATGACAACCAGCAGACATCAAGGTAGCATAGGCAGATACAGTGTATCATCTGTTTTATAGCCCATTTTTTAATAATCTTACACATATGTAATTCAATAGGCAATGATTTTCTTTTAACATGTGGCTTAGTTGAGCTGTAGAGTCTCCTGTATCATATACGTCGGTTTAGTTTCATTTCCTTCGTTATTTGGTTTTGAGTTAGGGCTATAGCAAATATTATCACACTTTACCTTCTCAAATGAAAGGCACCACATCTAATTTCTCTAAGGATAAATTAATTTGTAGCATTGCAGCAAAAACACATTCTACGTGTTTTCAATCTTATTTCCAGTCATTCTTAGTTATCTGAGAATGTTATTCTTATATAGTGCTTTAATAATTAATTCTTCACCTTTGGTCCCATTACCATGAAACATAAGGTTTAAAAGTAAATGAATCATATGACCCAACAATCCCTCTCGTGAATATATACCCCCAAGACTCAAAAACATATATTCACAAAGATATATGCACCCCTATGTTCACTGCAGCATTGTTCACGGTGGCCAAGGCATGAAAACAACCAAAGTGGCTTGCAACAGAGGACTGGATAGAGAAGATGTGGTACATGCACACAATGGAATACTGCTCAGCCATAAGAAAGGATGACCTACTGCCATGTGCAACAACATGGATCGACCTTGAGACTATTATGCTCAGTGAAATAAGACAGAAAGAAATAGCTAAGAACCATTTAATTTTACTCATATATGGGATATATAGTAAAAGTGAAGCTTGTGAACACAAATAGTAGTGCAGTGGTTGCTAGAGGGAAAGAGGTAGGGGAAGAAAAGGAGGTCCTAATATAGTGACAGAAGATTTGACTTTGGGTGGTTGGCACACAGTGCAATATACAGATCTTGTAACAGAGAAAACCACACCTGAAACCTATATAATCATGTTGACCAATGTTATCCCAATAATTTTTTTTTTTAAGAAATATTGGAAAGACAAAAGGTAAATGAGGTTGCCCTGGCTGGTGTGGCTCAGCTGATTGGTATCATCTCATGCACAGAAAAGTTGACAGTTTGATTCCCAGTCAGGGCATGCATATACCTGGATTGTGGACCTGATCCCTGGTAGGGGTCTGCAGGAGACAGCCAATCAATGTTTCACTCTTACACCAACGTTTCTCTCTCTCCCTTTCCCTTCCTCTCTCTCTACAAGTCAATAAAACAAAAACAAAAATTTTTTTTTAAGTAAATGATGTTAAATTGTTTCATTAATATATGGATTCTTTTAAATGCTGGGAAAATTCCAATAACTTTCACCTGGTACTCTTTCTAACTGGCATTAAGTGGCTATTACCAGCAATGTTTAATGTTATTCCTGCTAATCATGCTCACAGGCTGGGTAGAGACTGGAGTAGGAGCTGGAGAAGGAGATAGAGGTGGAGCAGGCATTGTCATGACGATCACATGTACACATGTGCCCCATTGAATGTTTCTAATAAAAATTTGATGAACTTGTAAAAAACTGCATATAATTTATTTTAAAATCATATAAGTAGTCTCTAGAACTACAGCAGTTTCTGAAAAATTAACAACTTTCTCTTTGCTATTAAAACCAAAGTATAAAAGATTTTCCATTAGCCTTCTAAAATATTAATTTGATTTCCCATATTTGTGAATTATTAAAATTTCCTGTTAAATCAATGATAAAATGTATTTACTTACTGCAAAAGAATTTGACTCCACATGATGACTGCCTAAATCGATTTAAGTCATTGAAGAGGTCTACTTTGACAACTACATTGATTTCCCCACGAATACCTGTAATTTCAAAAGGAAAATCAAATTTCTACCTTAAATAATAAAGTAAATTAAATAATCAAACAATACCAATTCATGATTTTAAAATAATGTATCAAGCATAACAGAAATGCTAACTTTGTTTCCCTAATTATTTTCATTCTAAGTGGTTTGTTACATTTTCTGAAGAACCTGTATACAGTAATGAATGAATAATATTCATTTTACCACAAGTCTTCACTTATTTGAACCAATCTAACTGGAAAGGAGTACCATTTAATTTGATGATGATAATAAGTATTAATAAGTAGTATCTCACAGTGCTCATGCCAACCCAGTAAGGTAGTTAGTATTAGTATTCCCATTTTACAGAGGAAAAAAGCTACAGTTTAATAGAAGTTCAATAATTTTTACAGAGTCAATAGTAAGTGGTGAAGCTAGGATTACAAATCAGATCTTTATTATCCCAGAGTAAATACTCTAAACAACTAATGCAAGAATCTGATTTAGCACAAAAGAACTTTTATTCTTTTCAACAAATATACAGTAATAAGTTAAAATAAGCTAACTAAGAAATTCTAAGATAACAGGTTTTTAGAAGATGCCCTAACAAATAAAAATGACCCAACCTCTACCCCTAAACATTTTTTTGGGGTGTCCTGACTTCCTGTCAAATTCATACTTATGGAGAAACCCTTCTAAGAGTGACTTGCTCATTTACCTACTGAAATAACAGATTATATTCCTAACAAAGGGCCCATACAACCTATTAACCCGACTATAAGCAATTTTTAATATAATGTTTAGAAAATTCATTCATTCTGATAGCTGCTTTTAATTCAAGTCCAGATTCATTCTCCAGTGGCTTTTTTATTGGTAATATAACATAAAATGGGATTTTATTTTATTACAAAGATAATACATACAGAGTCAGGGGAAAGGTTTACAGTTGTGTGTGAAACACAGAGTTCATTCTTGTATTATTATTTTTTAAGTATTGTATTATTTGTCATAAAAACAACTGAAAGTCTACTTTTGCCCAACCTTGTATACATTGTAAAAAGTATAAAAAAAAGCAAAACAGGACAAAGAGTATAATAGGACTATAGTCCACAAATAAAACTATCCAAAGGTAACCATTTTATCACATATCCTGCCAATTTTGTCAAGAGCATTACATATATACAATTCTCTTGTTTCTAAACCAATTTGGGATTATCCTATAATGTTTTATAATCTGGATTTTGCAATTCATAATACATGATGCACATTTCCTTATGCCATTGTATTATGAAAACATGCTTCTAGTTCTGGCTGTGTAACTTAAGTTCTAAATTGTTTAAGTAAATCCTATTTTGCAACTTATTTTTACCAATTTAAACATTAGTAAATGATAATAGATATAAGTAACATCACAATAAATATACATCAATCTCAGCAAACATCTTGGTTTCTTACAATAAATGACTATCAATGAAATTGTCAGATCAATAATATAAACTAGTAAGAAAGATACAAGACTAGATAGAATCATCTGCCTATGCCTTTTGGGTCCATTTACCATTCTAAAAAGATGGCATCTTTTTAGGCCAGCTGTTCCTCAAACTTTTCAATCACCGGACCCATTCAAATTTAAAAATTACTGAAGTGCTCAAGAAATTTTTATATATATTACTTGTAGCTCTCAATATTTATCACATAAATTAAAATTGAGAATTTTAAAAAGTATTTGTTTATTACTCCATTGAAAGTAATAATGAATCGGTTAATATAAGCAATATTCTCTAACTATATTTCGAAAAAAGTAATGAGTGGCACTGTGTTACATTTTTGTAAATCTCTATAATGTCTAGCTTAATGGAATACAGTTTGAAAGTATGTTTTAGGAACACAGAATACAAATATGAGATGATTTTTAAATAATGCATTTACTTCCTACACTGTACAAATTTAACTCAGAAAATTGTTTCAAGTTATGTTCAGAAAATAAACAATTCTACCAACAATACTTTACTACTAAGTCTAAAAAGGAGATATTTCTAAAAATATAAGTTTTAAAACCACAAAGTGTACATAATAGTCTTTAAGGGTAAATTTGAAGACTTATTATTTATTTTCTTAAAATTTACTCCTTACCATGTATGGTGTCATAAATGGGAAACCATCCTGAGATGACTGTCGCGGCTTCACTGTAGAGTAAAGGATCGATATCAATGTACACTTTGCCGATGGCATCATTGGCGCTGTAAGTATCATGGTCAAGAACTGTGATCTGTAGAGGTTCATCTTGTAAATCTTCATCATCCACCTAAAAGCACACTTTAAATTAAATCTTTTCATTTAAGAATCTTTGTTATCATAAATGTAAATGTAAATTTGTTTAGCAAATGTAAAAGATTACTTATTCATGGGGAGGAAAATCCAATTAGTATACAAACAAAAACTGTAACTCAATTTTCTACACAAGATGCCAAGTTTCTAAGGGAGGGGGGGAATGTTCTGCCTCAAGCACAGAGTTAGGATACTTAACCCAAAAGAAAAGTTATAATTCCTTTGCTGCATATTATCCTGTGTTTTACTACTCTACCAATGGTTTCCTGCAAAAATGCTTTAGGAATATCATAACAGAGTTGATATATTAACTACAGAGAAAGGATGCTAATGAGCACAATGACAGCATAATTTCTAAGGACAATTTCAGAGAATAAAACTAAGCAAAACTAACATTATTTGTAAAAAAAAAAAAAAAAAAAAACAACTTAAGTTCTTGAATTCAGTTCATAAAGTAAATGTCTACCCTCTCTCTCCTCTTCTGTTTACTCAATATAAAGCACTTACAATGTGCCAAGCACTGTGCCAAAGAGAGGAACTACAACTGTTCTTAAGTGACTTCTGATATGTGCTAAAATTCAGAGAAATTACTATATAATAATATAATACCTTTATAATCTGAGTTCTCCTACATATATTTATATTTTCTTAACTGTAACATAATTTTAAGTGCAATATTCCTAAGAAATATTTTTATGTAACAGGAAAACTACTATATCTGAAATAAAAGGTGTTCTTATCATTCCTAGGGAAATCATGCTAACATTTAAAAACTTACCTCAAATTTAAACCATTCTGAGTTCCACTGAGGGTTGAGGGACTTGAGATACACATCTGTTTTAAAGGTGGTATTACCAAATTTTACCTAAAAATAAAAAATAATCAAATACAGATATCAAATATGTGAACATAAATAAAGTTTAATGTAAGCCAAGCAACGAGAGGATTAACATTGGAGAGGAAACAAGACAACTATCCTCTGAGCCCAAAAGAAGAAAGTGTGACTAGTTCCTGGTAAGTTTATAGACTATACCTGGTACAAGGGATTACCCACTATTCTGCTTGACTAGCTTTTTAAGAAAATTAAAACATAGGCCATTATGTCACTATGGAAAAAGGAATCAGTATGCCTTTTGCTAAACAAGAGCTCTGACAAAAGAGTGTTTTAAGGGTAGGGGATAAGCAAAAATAAAATCAGAAGGTGAAAGAATAGCTTTCTCTGTTCATATCAGCAGGAGAATTCAGAACTACAGCTCATTATTACAAGTACTCAGTAATAGATCCTGTTGTATCTTCTGACTTCCCCATACATATTTTTAAATTTCTTATCTGTGCACACACAGGGATCAACAATAAACTGTGGCCAGTAAGGGTTTTATGTTCTCACTGAGACCCAGTGCACGAAGTTCAAGCACAGGTAGGGTCCCTAGCAGCTACTGGCTGCCAGATGGGGCCTCTCTTCCCCCAGCTGCCTGCCACCACTGTCAGCCAGGGTGAGTCCAGCTGGGGGAAGGGGCTGCGGGCAGTTGGCTGGCCAGCCCCACCCCCTGGTTGAACTCCCAGTCAAGGGGACAATTTATATATTAGGCTTTTATTATACATTCTCATCTTTAGGGACCATGAAAGAGGTTGGATGGAAAGACTTGCAAACAATAAATTACAAAGATCAAAAATCTATATATATAAAAGTCTAAGCAACCAAACGATCAAACAACGGGTCAATCGGTTGCTATGATGTGTACTGACCACTGGGGACAGGCACTCAATGCAGGAGCTGTCCCCTGGTGGTCAGTGCACTCCCACAGCCAACCTCCCTCAGCCCTTCCACAGGCCGGCCAGCCCTGATGGCCCCAAACAGAGCAGCCAACCTCCTACAGTTCCTCCCCCGCTGGCCAACCTCCCATGGCCTTAATGACCCCAATCGACAGCCAGGCTGAGGGACTCCCCACTTGTGCACAAATTCATGCACCAGGCCTCTAGTAAGTAAATAAAAGGAAACAAAGGTGGCAGGAAGCAGTCCAAACCTTTGAAACTTGTTTCCAGCAAAGAATGGAAATTGTGAAACCTCAGGTGACTTAAGAAGTGGTCTGGAGGCTCAGGAGTAAAACAGCTAGGCAACTACTTCACCTTCCTAAATTTAATCTCTTCAAATCTTCCCTAATCCTATCAATTACCACCTTTCATAATCTCACAATTCACTGAAAGTTATATCCCCTTTATCACAATTCCCAGCACAGTTTTTTGCACAGGGCAAGTATGTAGGAAATGCTGGTTCAAACAGATAATCTATAAAATCTCCTCTCCTTTTTTACTACAATCCTACTTTTGGTATTATAATACTTATAGATATTAATGTTTAATCAATCTAGAAAATTTTCTAAGAGCAAAATATTCAAAACTATTTTTTTATCTTCTGTATATTTTTCTATTTATGGTACTATTCAATTGGAATGACTGGAATGATAGCAACCATGTTGTACCTAGGCAGTTTGGTTAGAGGATAAAAAAAGTTTTTAAAATTATCTAAAAATAATACCTTCTTGCATGATAAAGAATTTGACAGAATCAAAGACAAATAAGAAACGGAGAAAAAATATTTACCAAATGCATCACAAAAAATAATTTACTCAATTTTTAATGAGTTCCTACAAACCAATAAGAAAAAGATCAATAAACCAACAGAAAAATGGACAAGGGACATGAACAAACAATTAAATGAAAAAACATGTCTTAAATATGTCAAGAGATGATCAGTGAGTGTAAATTAGAACAATCTCAATGGACTACAGTTTGACAATACAGATCAAAATTTTAAATGCTTATAACCTTTAAGTTCAGATGGACAAAGAATATACAATGCATATAAGCAGCATTATAATAGCAAAAGATTGGAAACAACATAGATAAGCATCAGCTTGGAGCTGGTTAAAGAAAATACGGGAAAGCCACACGAGACAGCCCTTAATAGAAGAATGAAGCCGTTCTCCAAACACCAGTATGGAACAATGTCCAAGATTATCTTACTGTTGCAGAACAGTATGTATGGCATAATTTGCATAGAGAAATATGACAAGATGTTATGGCAAATAACATTTGCCTTCATATGTACAGATTATTTCTAGAAGGACATATAAGAAATATTAATAGTGGCCACTACAAAGACCAGAACAGACTGCTTTGTTAAAGGAAAGGCAATGAGAGGCTGACTCATTTTGTTACCTTTTGGATTATGAACCATGAACATACATTACCTATTTTCTAAATGTATCATTTTTTAAATTAAATCACAGGATTAAAATCTTTATTTTGATTTCAATTATAGAATTCTGGATCCACTTCCAGATTGTAATCTAAAGAAGTACTTTCACATAAGATCTTTTCCCCTACAAATATACAAAAGAACTACATAGTCATTCAACAAGAAAGTAACTGAATACTAAATAACTGAAGAATCCTACTGAAAAATTGAGTTGATCATATGTACTGTCATAGGAAAATATCAATGACATAATAACTGAAAAAACCAAGTAGTACAATATGTAACTAACAGAAATTATCTCTGAAGAAGGGACTGACAGGGTGTAGGCAATACAGTACAGTGTAATAGAAAGTAGTAAAGAGCCCTAACCGCTTTGGCTCAGTGGATAGAGCATCAGCCTGCAAACTGTTTTGATGCCAGTCAGAGGTATGTACCTTGGTTGTGGCGCATCCCAGTAGGGGGTGTGCAGGAGGCAACTGATGGATGTTTCTCTCTCATCGATGTTTCTAATTCTCTATCCCTCTCCCTTCCTCTCTACAAAAAATCAATAAAATATATATACTTTTAAAAAGTAATAAGGAGCTTTCAAGTTTTATTTCTCAGTATTAAATTTTTTTGTAATGGGAGCTATTCGAGTATTTTTTGTGTGATTTTTATTTTATTTTAAATCACAAATGTTAAATGAAACTTAATGGGGGAACAAACAACCCAATTAAGAAATGGGCAAAGGACCAGAATAGACACTTTTCTGAAAAGGACAAACAGACATATGAAAAAATGCTCAATGTCACTAATCATCAGAGAGAGGCAAATTAAAACTACAATGAGATAATCACCTCATGGTTGTCAGAATGGCTATCATCAATAAAACAACAAACACAAGTGCTGGCAAGGATGTAGAGAAAAGGGAACCCTCATGCACTTTTGGTAGGAATGCAGACTGATGCAGCCACCATGGAAAACAGTATGTAGTTTCCTCAAAAAATTAAAAATGGAACTGCCTTTTGACCTAGCAATCCCATTTCTGGAAATATATCCAAAGATTCCCAAAACACCAATTTGAAAGAATATATGCACTTTATGTTCACAACAGCGTTATTTACAATAGCCAAGACCTAGAAACAGCCTATCAATTGATGAGTGGATAAAAAAAGCTGTAATACATTTACACAATGGAATACTACTTAGCCGTAAAAAAGAAAGAAATATTACCTTTTGCAACAGAATGGATGGACCTGGAGAGCATTATGCTAAGTGAAATTAAGCAATTTAAATAAAGAAAGATAAATACTATATGATTTCTTATGTGGAATCTAATGAACACAATAAACTGACAAACACAGAAACAGAGGCAGGGAGGCATGGAACAGACTGACAGCTGTCAGAGGGGAGGCAGGGTTGGAGGGCTGGATGCAAGCAGGTGAAGGGATTAAGCAAAAAAACACACATATATAAACATAGACACAGACAACAGTGTGGGCACAGACAGAAGAAAAGGGAGGCTGGGATAGGTTGAGGTAGGCAAAAGGGGAAATATGGGGACAGAAAGAGACTTTGCTTTGAGCAATGGGTGCACGATGCAGTGTACAGATGATGTTTTGTTGAGTTGTACACTTGAAACTTAATATGCTTTTGTGAACCAATGTTATCCAAAAAAATTCAATTTAAAAAAAGAAAGAATGCAGGAAAAGAAGAATAGATTTATTGCTCATTTATTAATTTAATTTTCATTATATTTCAATATTCAAAATATCAAAAAAATACTTAATACCTAATTTATCTAAAACTGCTTTATTTGAAGGAAAATGTAATTAGGATTTATAAAACCATTCAAAAGCCAAATGTCCTTAAGGGTTGTGGTTCCATTTCTAAAAATAGCATATTATTTTTTAGGTTCTAATTTAAACCCCCCTTCAGTTTTATCCCACTATACTGTAGTACTATGTTGCACTTTTTTTGTCAACTGTCCATTCTGGATATAGCAAAGATGTGACAGTCCCCACACTGCATTAAACAAACAAAAACCAAGATTTTAGAAGAAGAAAAAGGCTAGAGTGTGTATTTTGCCAACACTGTGATGATTCTCCTTCTACTAAAGAAGAATCACAGTCCATTCGGTCTTATTTAATTCAAAAGGAGATTTAATTACTCAGCAATTAAGTGAATGCCTTACAACTTTGTTAAAGAACATCAGGGATTTTAATGAGATTACCTAGTAAAGTACAAGTATTCTCTTTCCCCACTCATTAGCTAAATTACCTTGAGAAGGTTATTTAAGGCTGCTTCCTCCTCAGAAAAAGGGGGTTGTTGTGAGCATTACATGAGGTAATGCATGGAGAGATCTAGCAAATTGTTTGATACAAAGAAAATATTCATTTAACAATAATTTATTTTCCTCTCCCAGCAGAACAATTTGTAACATGCATATTAACTCTGAAATATATTTCCATTAATACTTTCCTTATACTAGAAACCCATCCCATTCATCCATGAAATTCCTGCAAGAATAATAATCTTTAACTACTACTTGTATTGACTTCATATCATATTGTAGAAATTCCTTAACTGATTGATAAATAACTAAGTTAAATCAGAGAATCATTAAAAATGATACAAACAGTAAACATTAAAATAAAACATAAATATTAATTCCTCTCTTTTTTTTGTTAATCCTCACTAGAGCCTATTTTTCCATTGATTTGTAGAGACTGGAGGGGGGAAGAGACAGAGAGAAAAACATCGATGTGAAAGAGATATAGCCATTGTTTGCCTCCCACACAGTATTTAGCCTGCAACCAGAATTGAACCCGGGACCTTTCAGCCCATGCGTTGATGCTCTCTCTCCACTGACCCAAACTGGCTAGGGTCATTCCTTTTATCTTTTAGTGTAAAACTGAGTAAGGGCCCATTCTTTTTTTTAATATATATTTTATTGTTTGTTTGTTTTTACAGAGAGGGAGATAGTTAGAAAAATCAATGAGAGAGAAACATCGATCAGCTGTCTCCTGAACACCTTCTACTGGGGCTATGCCGGCAATCAAGGTACATGCCCTTGACCGGAATAGAACCTGGGACTCTTCAGTCCGCAAGGTCTAGCCACGCTCTATCCACTAAGCCAAACCGGTTAGGACAAGGGTCCATTCTTTAGAGTTGTACATCATCTTCTTCTGCACCCATAATGTATCATCTGTAACTGCTAGTCTAAATTACTTTAAAATGTAGTGGTAGAACTTAAAATTGCTTTTTTTTAAAAAACCGTGAACATAGAATCCTAGATTTTTTTTTTTACCATTTTCATCTATAGTTCAGAGTAATTTTTAGTGACTGTATCCATAAGTCTTTATGTAGCATTTATCAGCATACTTCACACTTATTTCACTAATTTATAGATTTAAATAAATTACGATTATTGAGTTGTCATAAACAGCTGCCTCTTGGTAAAGTACATCAGTCAACCGATGGGTGAAGCAGGTCCATTGGAGAATAACTGTATGGGGTATTGAAGAATGTGCTTGTGGAAGGAATGCAGAGCACTGGGGACTGGAACGAGTCAGTTAATGGAAGTTGGTTAAGAGAACTTCTACAACCGTAGCTGGTTTGGCTCAGTGGATAGAGCATCAGCCTGCGGACTGAAGGGTCTCAGGTTTGATTTCGACCAAGAGCATATGCCTGGGTTACGGGCTCGATTCCCAGTAGGGGGATGTGCAGGAGGCAGCCGATCAATGATTCTTTCTAATCATTGATGCTTCTGTCTCTCTCTCCTTCTCCCTTCCTCTCTGAAATCAATAAAGAAATATATTGAGAGAGAGAGAGAGAGAGAGAGAGAGAGAGAGAGAGAAAGAGAGAGAACTTCTACTGAAGACTATTCTTTCCAGCTTTCAGACCAAATTTTACTTCCCACTCGGTAGTCTGTATGCCCACCTACCTAACCAAATTTTACTTCCCACTTCTATTTAATAAGAACCCAGCCTTCAGTTACATATGCTCTATCTTGCCCTTCTATTCACCTTCTATTACAAAAATGCCCCCTTTTCCATTCTGCTTGTGGAAATTTTACCCTTCTTCAAACCCAGCTCAAAGATTTCTCATCACCAGCCCAGGCTTCATTATGTCCCTCCTATGAGCTTATAAAGTAGTCTACATCATACATTATTAAATTATAATCCTTCATTATCCCCTTTTTCCTGCATTAATCTTTTCCTTCCTGCCGGATTATTCCTATTACCACACAATTATGTTCTATTATCTTCTAACTTACTTTTTTAGTACTAAAAACTTTGTACTCTCCCCAAATACACTATTTTTCTCTCCCCTTCATATTTCCTGAAACAGCTGCCTATTCATATCACTCCTACTTCCACATCTTCCATATTCTTTAACCCTCTTTAACTTACTACAGTATATAGCTTCTGTCCTTATTACTTCTCCTGCAATCTATTAATAGGTATGTGCCCTGACCAGGAATCAAACCCACAACCTTTTGGTATATGGGACAACGGTCCAACCAACTGAGCCACCAGGCCAGGGCAGAACTGTTTTGAAAACTAATTAAAAAGTACTTAGCACAGCCCTAGCTGGTTTGGCTTAGTGGATAGGCCTGAGGACTGACGGGTCCCAGGTTCTATTCTGATCAAGGGCACATGCCTGGGTTGCAGGCTCAATCCCCAATAAGGGTGTGCAGGAGGCAGCCGATCAATGAATGATTCTCTGTCATCATTGATGTTTCTCTCTCTCTCCCTCTCTTCCCCTCTGAAATCAATAAAAATGGTGGTGATTTTAAAAAGTACTTAGCACAGACCTGTCAATAAAAAGACTCAATACCTGTATTAACCGATCCTAAACGATACGCCAGTCTCTGAGCTACCTGAAAGCAAAGACTATGCCTTGGGAATCTGTGTATCCCCATTACCTAACATCCTGCTCAAGAACACACTCAGTAACTAACTATTTCCCGAATGAAGCTGAGTTTGAGAATCACCACAGCAATGTTTGGGGGCAACACCGGTTATTAGGTTTGAGAACCTTAATGGAACATCAAGAATATTTTATAACTGGACCTGCATGGGTGCGTGGGTTTGACATGCCCAGGTATTGTGTTCAATCCCCATTGGGGGAGTGTGCAGGAGGCAGCCAATCAATGAGTCTCTCTCATCATTAATAAATATTAATAAATAAAAAATATTTTTAGCCAAAACCGGTTTGGCTCAATGGATAGAGCGTCGGCTTGGGGACTGAAGGGTCCCGGATTCAATTCTGGTCAAGGGCATGTACCTTGGTTGCAGGTATATCTCCAGTAGGGGGTGTGCAAGAGGCAGCTGATCGATAACTCTCATCGATGTTTCTAACTATCTCTCTCCCTTCCTCTCTGTAAAAAATCAATAAAATATATCAAAAAATATTTTTAAAATATTTCTATTGATTTCAGAGAGGAATGGAGAGGAGAAACAGAAACATCAATGATTAGAGAAAATCATTAATCGGCTGCCTCCTGCACGCCCCCTACTGGGGATGTGCCTTTGACCAGAATGAACCTGGGACCTTACAGTCTGCATGCTGACGCTCTACCCACCGAGCCAAACTGGTTAGGGCTCTCTCGTCATTCATATTTCTATCCCTCTCTCCTCTCCCTTTATAAAGTCAACAAAAATATATAAAGGAATATTTTATAGAGATAGAAATCAAACTACATATTATCATGTATCTATTAACTCCCTGCATTAATAGGTCAAATGATTACTGTTCTAATCCTCTGGCTCATCATGTCAATTTTTATTACAATCTTTACTTGGCTTCTTTCAGACGCTGGCATATTACTTTCTGAGGCCCTAGGCCTGTGATAATTTGCATGAGCTATAAGCCAGTCATTAAATTTAAAAGGCAATTTTGCAATTTAAATACCCATGGCGCTTAATTGACTTCCTACCCCCCAAGGCACTGTATTTACCCTAAAACAGCTTTTCAGACCTAACCCGTCCAGACCGGAGCAGGAAGTGTTTTTAAGAATTTACGATGACAACACAGAAAAGACTAAGGTCAAGAGTGGATCTCCAGACGAAACCGGTTAGGCTCCATGGTAGAGCGTCGGTCTGCGGACTGAAAGGTCCCGGGTTCGATTCCGGTCAAGGGCATGTATGTTGGCTGCGGGCACATCCCCGGTGTGGGGGATGCGCAAGAGGCGGCTGGTCGATGTTTCTCTCTCATCGACATTTCTGGCTCTCTATCTCTCTCCCTTCCTCTCTGTAAAAAATCAATAAAATATTAAAAAAAAAAAAAAGAGTGGATCTCCAAGGTGCCTATTCGGACTGTTTTATCTACATCCTTGAACATCACCTCCATCACTCGGGCGTAAAGAACCACCGCTCCCCCCACCCCACCCCACCCCTCCGCACCCCCAAAGAGGGGCGTGGGTAAGCGCGCGCGCGCGCGCGTGCATCGCGGTGCCACAGGGCCACGCTCGGGACCTCCTGACCGGCAGGTGACCCCTGACACCGGGGTCACCCCAGCAGGCAGGGCAGTAACAGCCACCCCGCGCGGCGCCGTGTGCCGCCGCCGCCGCCGGCGAGCCGCACGCACTCCCTCACGTGGGCTGCAGAGCGGGCAGACAGCCCTCCGGGAGGCTGGACCAGCCAGGCTCACGGAACTGTCAGCAGGGAAATGGGCTGAGGGGCTGGGGCCGAGGTGGGTAGGGATCCTTTCGAGGGCTTGGCTTTCCCCCGTGTTTTCGAGCAGCAGGACCTCGCACCAACCTCCACGAAGGCATCGGTCAGGTCGCTAGCTCGGTCCATCACCGGCAAATGGCGCCCGGCCACGATTTTCACCTTCAGCTTCCCAGGCATGGTCTCGGCTCGGGCCTCTCTTGACGCTCCTGCAGAAACAAACAAGCGCGGCTGCGCCGGGCGCTGAGCCCCGCGGGGAGGGGCGGGGACGCGCGGGGAGCGGCCGGAACGCGCGAGCGCGCGCGCGCAGGGGGCGACGGGAGCGCGCGGGGTAACTGACAGCTGGGCGCGTGGTGGTGGGGGGGGGGAGGGCGGGACACCGCCGGCTGTCACTCACTCTCGGCCGGAGGGTGGCGATCCCGCGCGAGAGCTGAGGCCTCGTTCCGGAGAGGCCGCCGGAGGAGTGCCCGGGGTGGGCTCTTCCGTCCCGTTCCCACCACGCTGGCAAGAGAAGGAGGAGCCTGTCCACATCCCGCTGAACCCCGGCCGCCGCTCCTAGGTTACCTCCTCCCCGCCCCCTCCTCCAAAAAAAAAAAAAAAAAAAAAAAATGGCGGCCTTCGGGGCGTGGAGGGTGCATCGATCGTTCGGCGCTCGGCTCGCTTCGCCGGGGAGGTGGAAGGGCCGGGGCGGACTCGGCGGCGGGAGGGCAGGGAAAGGGGTGAGCCCTGCATCATCCACCGGGCTGTGCGCGGCAGCTTTCCCCGAGGAAGGAACGCTCGCCCCGTCCCGCGCACAGAGTGGGTGCCGCTCGGCCCCTGGTCCGGGGCCGCTCCTTCCCGACTGCCAGCGCCGCATTTCCCAGGGGCTGTGACGGTTTTTAACCACCCTTTCGTGGCTCCTGACATCCATTTAGTTGGTTTCTACCTGGACAGGGAGACGTTTTTTTATAGGAATAGAGAACAAAATGTCGGATAGCTGATTTAGAGTTTTTATTCCCTGGGTTACAGGATGCTATAATAGATCTTGGGCAAACACACACACACACACACACACACACACACACACACACTACGTTGAGATTCTGCTTCCTGGCAAATTGTTAACCGTTTAACTCACACACACACAAAAAAAAATCTTTAAAAAAAAAAAAAAAAAAAAAACACGCAACAAACTGAAAAATCCCAAGCCACTGCTTGAAGGGGTTGACTGTGGCCTCCCAGATCATCTCAGTGTGCTCATTGTCCACAAGCCTGAAGATCAGACATGGCAGGCAGGCGTTCAGGACCTAAAATGTAGGCTCAGACCATCGGAAGAGTGGGGAAACTGAGGAACACGCACAGGAGGGAACACAAAGCCTACCAAATACAAAAACAGCCTGAACAATACATGCCATATCATATGCAAAATCATTAACAATTCCATTGGAATTGGAATGAAAAATTGCTAATTGAAGGTATCAGGATGATTATCTTAACGTGAAAAACACTCAACAGGTTAAATTCAGCACTCCAGGTGACAAACTTATCTTTTCAAGGCTAAATAAATAAATAAATGAATCCTGCAGAGAAGTTGAACTATTCACATAACTGAGAAGTTGAACTATTCCAAAAGGAAAAGAATAAGGCTTCCTGAAAATAAAAATCTAACAGATAAATCACTGACTTTTGGGACTAGAGAAACCTTTACCCATTCAAACTCACAAAAGGATAGAGGTTTCATGCAAATTTCCTTAGATCCACCTGCAGCTTTTTGTGGCGACTAACTCTACCCTTAAAATGCCCTTGCCCAAACCTCAATGTCAGCTACCCTAAGTGATAGGTCAACTCTGGTGTGCTTTAGTGGTAGAGCAGAAATACCCTTTTACTAAAACCAAAGAAATGCCATACTACCAGTTCATTTTTCTAAAACACCACAATGTATAAAGAAAAAATATTAGAAAACTTGAATTTAGCAATAATCTTAATGGGAAATAATACGTTGTATAACATCATGTTGTAATGTTTTTTTAAAAATTGCAAAATGAATAATTAGAGGTTAGCAATCTCAGTTTCCTAATTAATAGTCTGTAAGATACTTACTTATACATATATGTTGCCTTAGGCATCATCAACAGGAGATTATAATCAAGATGCTTCCTGAAGATTTTTTTTTTTAGTTGAAGTAAGCCTGACTTCAGTTTTGTTTTTCGATAATTGTTCCAGTTTGTTTTTCATTAATGCTGGGAGCAATGCTGACTTTTGTGATAAATCTCTCTTGACAGATCATCCTAATTATCTTTCTTAGCCTTATATCTTGCCACTCTATTTGCATTTTAGATCCTACAATAATAACAAGAATTAACAGGTGTTGATTATTTGCTAAGTATAAGCCACTGAATTCAGTGCTTCACAGCTTTTAAGCCTCCCTAAAATCCTATATAATAGGAATTTTCAGCCTTCATTTTATAGGTGAGGAGCTGGTATTGTTGGAGGCAGGATTTATATCTAATTATTGTGATTCCAAGAACACATGATCTACATGTAGTTTTCCAATAAACTTTTGGCTACATGTAGTTTTCCAATAAGCTACATTTTTCTCTCCATCTGAGATGTCTTTCTCATAGTCATCCTAGCAAACACGTTAGAATTCATAGCTCAGTTTAAATGTTACTTTAAAGTCTTCCCTGATCTTCTTCTTAATAAATCTACTCCCCACTACCACCACTATACTACCACTAAGTCTAACACTTCTATTATTGCACTGTCCTTATACATAATTATTGATCTGTTTCTCTTATTAAACTTTGAGCACCTTGAGGGGAGGGACAATTTCCTATTCTCAATTCTCAGTTCCTTGACATGTAATCAATAAATGTTTATGGGATTAAATATGAGGGACAATTAACATTTATACATTTACTACTTTGCTTTCTCTTTCGTGACTTCCTGAAATGTTCCTTTTGATATCTCTTCACCCTTTCCAGGTTAAACTTCTCAAGGTTGTCTAAATTTGGTGCCCTCTCCTTCCCTCAGCCATTCCCTAAAACTTTTTCTATTTGGCTTAAGCTACCACCACTCTACCAAAACTACTTTCCTTAAGGCCATCAATAACCTTTGATTGATAAATCTAGTGGTTTCATTTTACCACTGGTTTTCATTTTACATGATTCTCAGTACATCTGACACTATTGATCATGCTTTCCTTAAAATACTCTTTCTCTTCGTATTCAGACACCATGCTTCTCTTTCTACTCTGCTATATATATATCTTTCTTCTAAGGTTGCTTATTGTCCTTAACAGATATGGTTTTCTCAGGGTTCAGTTCTTAGCCCTCTTATCTTCTAACTATACTATCTTCCCAGGTCCATGGTTGGCAAACCGAAGCTCTCGAGCCACATGTGCCTCTTTGGTCCCTTGAGTGTGGCTCTTCCACAAAATACCACGGCCTGGGCAAGACTATTTTAAGTGGCATTAGAAGAAGTTTAAGTTTTAAAAATTTAGCTCTCAAAAGAAATTTCAATCATCGTACTGTTGATATTTCACTCTGCTGACTAATGAGTTTGCCGACCACTGCCCTAGGTGATCTCATTCATGCCCATAAATTCAGTTTTCTATCTGGTTAGCTAAGCTTTCTGACATTTTTATTTTTAGCCCACAACTTTCTTCTGAGATCTGGACCCATACATGCAAATTGTCTAGTTTCTATTTCCACTTGGCGTATGAAAGCCACCGCAGAGTCATCATATCCAAGAAAGAACTTGACCCCTCCCACAGCTGCAGTAATTGCAATTACAACAAGAATAATACACAAAAAGCCTAGTCCTCCTTTGCTATGTTCCCCATCTCAAACGGTAGTAGCCTCAGCTGTATAGTCAAGTGCTCAAGGCAGAAACACTGGTTTAAGTTTGAGGTTACATGCAAATGACAACTTAAACTTAGTTCAGCTATTTTTGCCTCACTTTACTTCTAAAGCCACAAATCAGCTGAGTAAAGGGTAAACATGAGCAAAAGTAGTTAATGAGCATTTTCTTATTGGTTCCCTTGTACCAATAAGGTGTGTCATAAAGGTGTGTCTAATGTACAGAGAGCATAATGGCCAGATTGAATACAATGTTCTCCGGATTAGCATTGAAGTGGCACACACCACATTAAATGCACTCAGTGAATCACATGATGTAATTACATCCAGGTGTAATGGGCAGGTTATAGGCCTTGACATTTTATTGTGCCAACACTAAAATAAAGTTTCCTTTCGAGATTGTACTGCAAAGCCTGAGAAGTTTTCCACATATATCTACTTAAGGCCTTTGTGGAAAATTCTAGCCACATTTAGCAATTATCTTTGAGTCTTCCTGTTCCTTACCCTTGACATCCAATTAATCACTAAGTCCTATTGTTTATAACTCCTAATTTCCATATTATCACATGAAAAGTTGGTATTTCCCAATTCTACTCCTGCTTTCCTCTAATCAGTTCACCATAAAGTAGCCCAAATGATCTTTTTTCATATATATATATATATATATATATATATATATATATAATTTTTTTATTTATTTATTTATTTTTTTTTTTTACAGAGTGGAAGGGAGAGGGATAGAAACATCAATGAGAGAGAAACATCAATCAGCAGCCTCCTGCACATCCCCTACTGGGAATGTGCCTGCAACCAAAGTACATGCCCTTGACTGGAATCAAATCTGGGACCCTTCAGTCTTCAGGCTGATGCTCTATCCACTGAGCCAAACTGGTCAGGGCTTAATATTTTTTTTTTTTTTTTACTTTTTTAGAAACAGAGGAAGGAATAGGGATAGAGACAGAAACATCAATGATAAAGATCATTGATTGGCTGCCTCCTGTTGGCCCTAGGGATTGAACTTGAAATTCAGGCATGTGCCCTGATCAAGAATTGAACCCCAATCTCTTGGTTCTTGGGTCCATGCTCAACCACAGGCTGGGATGGAGTGATCTTTTTAAACAGCAAATATGTTTATATCACTCTGTTTGGGGGAACTTTTCATCAAAGATGAGGGGGCACTCCCTTACTATCAGACCATTTTCTTTATAAGAAAATAAAATGTCCAGAAATTCAAGAGAGAAAGATGGGTAAGAAGTGCATTATTTTATTTTATTTTTGCTTTCTTGAGATTAAAGTCAAACTATGACTTCTCTACTATCACCTAGAGCTTGATTATTTCAT